ACACCCCATTTCCATAGATTAGATCGACCTACTTTAGATCGACCTAACTCCCTGGGGGTTCACGCTAAATAGCTGTCAGCTGGGCGGACACGAAAGTTAATTACCCCCTTACAGCTTGTAGTAGGCGGGACGGACATTTAAGTCGGATTATCTTAAAGTAATCTAGTGAGACTCCCCGCGGGGATAGATCGATCTAAAATCTATGGGAATAGAGCCAAAGTCTCCATAACCTGCATTGTGGTAGTTGCGACGGTTACGCTGCTCAAAACCTGGTGGGAGATTTTATCAGTTTTTAATTCAATTATCTAACTGCTTTTAACATTTTTAACTTGAATTTGACATCTTAAAATGACAAAACTAAACATTTTTATAAATGTTTCTAGATTTTACAATTAAATGACCAACATATATATTCGGGAAATCGTGTTAAGCTTTGTCAGTTCAAAGCATTTATTTCAAAGAAAAAGGTTATAAAACTATATATATAATATTTTTTCTATTTTATAGCAAGAAATCCCTCTACAACCATTTTAAGGTTTAAAGATTTTTGTCATTTTACCTCCCTCTTCCCCCCCAGAAGAATTCGTTGATTCGGAACGTCAGAATTGTACGTCACAACACAGGATCAAAGTAACCCTTCCAATACAATGAACTTTATCGCGAGCAAAAAGCCTTTGCTGTGTAGGAAGGAATGCCTTACAAGAGAGAAGCCACCTAAGAGGAGTTTTGAGCAACCTGATTTAAGTATCCTTTATCTGGCGGAGAAATGAAGAAACGAGATCACGGATAAATCCAGAAACTGGAGCTCGAAATTGCTGCATTGCTGAAACTGACCATCAGCACAGCGGGAGAATAATTTCCTCTTTGCCATTGTCAAAAATACAGACAATTAAAAGACTAAACGTTTCAAATCGCACACACTTTTCATATTAATACGGAAGCGTGTAAGGGCCACAACACCAAACCATGTGACAATATATATCTCAAACTTGTATGTCAATTTATTAATGAGTTCCTCAATAAAACAAAAGAATGCAATGAACGTGACAACAACAGCGAAGTTACTTTCTTTAACGACAAGACCGTTTACTTCATAATCAATGCAATATCATTCATTAGTTGTCGGCTAATTATAAATAATACGCACTGGTAACGATAAAACGCAAAGGGAATCAACGTGAAAACCTTCTAAAAGACACTTTTCAAATAATAAATCCCTAGCAAGGCTGGCTTATCGATCGCGCCGTGTTCGCACCAAGCTTGATGTAGCGCATAGGCTTTTTCACATGATAAGAGAGAATTGAATTTTAAGTGTTCCATTCCTGACGCTATGTTTTGCACATAGTTGTCACATTAGCAGTAGACCAACTCAGTGGATAGAATTGTGTGATAAGCAGAAGATGGACAACTGCTGGGTTGGTGAAAACCGACTACTGATTAAACTGATGTTATGGAGTATTGAACGGTTTATAGACTATTAGAGTAGTTTCATTTTTTGTCCGTATTGTGAACAAATTTTTCTTCTGCCTGTGTGGCATTTTCCCGTCTGTAATGAAATATTCCAGAAAACTTCACAGGATTCCGTTCATACGTATGTCAGTTCGCAAAGGTAACTAGGATAAGGAGGTTAGAGCCGTGCCCTGATATACAGAGAAGTTTGTGATTTCCCTTTTTTTAATTATCTTTTCCCACTTTATTTGAGACACCCACACAAGAAAACACAGGATAAAAATGTTCCAAAACTCTTTCAATTCCATTGTCCCCATTTGACCGATTTCTGGTGTATCGCACCTTGCATTTTATTGCACAATGAAAATATAAACGAGGGTTAACTAAACAAATATAATATAATGTTTAAGAATTATAGTCTCCGACACAAAAATCACTTGCTTGACCTAGTTCTATTACGAGGCGCAAACGTTTCCATCCTTAGTTGCATTGCTCACCCATCTGGCTCTGCCTTGTGGTCGGAATCATAGAAAATAGAGAATGATTAGGTACTTTGTACTCAGGGTTATCAGTCTGAACATTCTAAGTTTATGTCACTAGTAACTGGTGGGGAGCATACATTTTCTAAGATTGCCATGGTACGTCTTCTTTCCTGGCGCCACTGTTTCTTAACCGTTGCGCGCATATTCAACTGCATTCAAAGGAACTCGGTTGGCAGATTTTTTTAAACGATTGTAAATATTGCTTTTGAATTTCTATAAACAAAACACAGCGATCGATGTTTTTTCTTGGTTCACAATGAACCGTCCCCACCTTTGCAACTAGACGCACTTTAAAAGATTGCCTGATGAAAGTAGCTGTATGAACAGCATTGATCATTGCAAAGCTAACTTACGAGCAACGTCAATCGTTATACGTGCAATGGCTTTGGACGAATTTTTCACCTATGAACCATCCGGTAGGCTAAATGATTCGTTAAAAGGAAAAATCACTTCATACCTGTGGTTGACATTCCCGCCCATCCTTTTAGTTATCGGAACCGCCGGCAACACTCTTTCATTTCTTGTCATGATTCGCGGCAATATGAGAAGAACTTCTATCGGGATGTATTTGGCAGTTCTTGCAGCCGTGGATTTAGCGGCAATTTGGATTGGTTTGATCAGGCACATATTCCGCGTCTACACTGGAACGGATATTCGAGAGTTGAGTGCCGATGGTCTCAGTTGTCAGATACATATATTTTTATTATATTTCTCTCTGGATTTTTCTGCGTGGCTCTTGGTTGCAGTTACCGCAGAAAGGTACATCACCATAACAATGCCTCTGAAAGCAAGGATATGGTGCACTGCTCCAAGGGCACGATGGATAATATTAACCATAGCGTCTTTGGTCACTATCGAAGAAATGCCCGTCTTTTGGTTAAGAGGACTGCAATACGAACACAACGATAATTCTTCGGCTGATTTCATATTGACAGACAAAAAGCAGAACACGATTTGTGGATTTCCATCTCCGGGTTACGAACAGTTTTGGTACTTCGTTAGACCTTGGTACATTGTAGCCATATATGTGGCCGGGCCATTTGCCACTATGGCCATACTGAACATTCTGATAATAAGAGAGCTCGTCACTTTGCGGACGTCTCTGAAGAGATCGTCTTTTTCCACAAAACTGCAAGAGGTTAGTCACAGGAAGGTCCGTGGAACCGCAAGATCGCTGACCATAATGCTTTTATCCGTTACCATGGTGTTTTTACTTTTGGTGACTCCAACATTTATAGATACGATTTTTATGCCATATTGGCTCCAAACCCCGAAGACCGACGACCAAAGAGAAGCATATAGATTATTCCACGTAACCGGCCTTATGCTAATGTACACAAACCATGCGGTTAATTTTGTTCTTTATTACGTCAGTGGGCAGAAATTTCGGACTGAATGTCGCAAAATGTTTTCCTGCACAAACAATTGCATTGGAGCTGGGTCAACAAATATGGCGCTCCTGGTGGACACCAGGGTGGAAAGTATGGGTGAGGAGTATCGTTTGACGAGGATCTCTCCCCGTAGGAGATGTAATACTGCGCCGCCATCATTAAGTCAAAGTAACAAATAGACAATCTCCCGGCCTCCGTTATGGACTGAAATCGGAGAAATCACCAGATGCTTATATATATATGACGACAAATTTTATTTAGTTAAATGTGTTTGTACCCTGCTAATGAAAGAACAACTACCTAAGCCCAAGCCGACCATAAAATCAAAGCATATGGCGACTCAACGCGATTCTTCATGCTCAGGCACTCGAGTCTTTTCCTTGTTGGGTGAAATGAATATGTATAAGCACTCTTCAGCAGACTGATTTAGTTTTCCCAATCTCTGAATACCCTGCCTCCAGAGTTAATGCTTCATTGATTATGAATTTTGACGACTCAATCTCAATGACAACTGTCTACTTGAAGCGTGTGAAATCTCATGAAAACCGATATTACAAGTTGGGGTCTTCTAGTATCTAAGTTAAGTGAATTCTATTGAAAAAAAGGCATAGAAAGTTATTGAGCACTAGTATAATTGTCTTCAGCGTTTAATAGTGCGAAACTGTTTTCGAAAATGTTAGTACAGTCACAAGGTTTTGGTTGATTGGTTAATTTTAAAACCCAAAAGTAAATTTCCATGGCGTGATAACAGCTGCAAACTGAAATTTTTTAACTTTCTGAATTTGTCATAACAGAAATATCATTTCAGATATTCAGTTTAAGAGACGTAATCAAAAGCCTGAAGAGATTATCTAATGAGGAATTATTAAAATTTTAATTGGAAAAGTAGAATGGAAAGTTTTGTATATGATGAAAGGAAAATATGTTAACGTATGATCTGTACAGAGAGATAGAGTACAGGCCCGTAGCCAGCAATTTCAAAAGGAGGGTGCTTTTTCTGAAAAGGTGAACCTTTTACCATGAAACCTTCATGTACCCAGATAAAATTTTACCCAGAGGGGACCTTTTCTCAGCGAAAGGGGGTTCTTTCGAAACTCCCCGACCCTCACCCCCTCAATGGCTACGGGTCTGGAGTATAAATTCCCTTGTATTTGTATGAAAAAAGAGAAACGATGAATAAACGTTTGAAACCCCAATTCGGCGTCGTCGTCGGAGGGAAGCAGGCGGCTCGCTGTTGACCCCCCCCCCCTCCCGCACAGTGTGCTTCGCAGAATTAACTGTTGATAGCGAGAAGTGATTTTCAACTGGCTAATTGAGCCACTGATTTTAAGGCTTAGATATCTGGCAACAAAGGCTATTTCTGTTGGAAGATGTCATGAAGAATATATTGCATTACAAACGTAATTAAACACGCACTAGACGTATCAGTCAATATATCTCTGAATTATTTAATAAATATATAATAGTAAGTAGGAGACTTCCCAGGTCTGAGATTGTCAGCATTGATTTGAAATTAAGCAACTGACACAGGTAACCTTGCGCTGTCGAAAATTTTTATCAAGAAAACCATCCTTTGGAATTATTATATCGATTGAACGCTGGGTATTCGGCATTCATAAATTTTATATTCTGTAACTGTGGATAATTCATATGTTCTTTGTTAAAGTCCAACGGATTTTGCAGCTGCCACGTCTTTCAAGATTAAAAATTTAAGTTATAAAAACAAGAATCAATTGAGTCGAAAGTTCATACGGCTCTATTCTACTAAATTTTTGTTCTTTGCGTAATGACCAAGGCAGCAAAATAATAACCTGAATGACTCTTAATAAAATTCAGTTGCCTAAATATTAAGGACATTTTAGAAAAGTAAATGGCACGAAATGCAAGAACCATGTAAAATCATTAACAGATGTCAATTTCTACTTTTTCGTGTCTTCAAGACCGCGTATCTAAAGGCCAGATCAATTTCATTGTCGACACACGTCACTCGATGACTTTCCTCAGGTTGCAAAAGGGAAACCATACAAGTGATTGTTACCATGCAAACCGATAGCAAAGCCGTATGACCGACGCACGCAATGATTGCTTTGCCAGTTTCATATTTGTCATTTTATGTGGGAATTAAATGAACTAACTTAAAATAAACTGAAAAAAGCTGGAAACTCGGTATGACGCCCTTCTTGAGGCGAGAGAAGCACGAAACGAGTTTTTTTTTAAAGTCCTAACAGAACGAAGAGTTTGGCCTTTTATGATATGCCAGTATAATTCCGGGAGGGAGGTCGAATACCAATTTTTCTAACTCCTGCTTAATCACCCCATTGTTCTGGTTTGCCTGCACGTTCAGTAGAGATGGTTGTATGTAGTATGTTAATAGAGGTGGGCTGGGGACGAGGTGTAACGACAATAGGGATTTCGTCTCCGCAGGTGTTGTTATCATAGGGTAACCAATTCGTATCCAAGCACGTCCATTTTTTTTCAACGCCTTAAGAATTTTATCACTCGCCGATAGGTGTATGGGTTGTGCCTTTACGACTCGTGTTAACATTTAACGCTGAATGAATGACAAAAAAGACCTTTGCCTATAACATAAAATTTTATTTGATAGAAATGTAAATGTAAATGTAAAAATAACTTTTATAAGGCACGTAACATGACAAGGAGAAAAGTATAAAAACTCCTATGCCAATACATAAATACACTTTTTATAATTCAAAATAATACAAACTGAAAATACAAACGCACAATACAACACAATACAAAAATAAACGTGAAAACATTTTAAAACGTGGAACATAAAGATGTCCTATATAAATACATTGGCGCAATAAAGGACAGTTTTGCAGAGCGAAATATACGCACTTTCCAAATATAAACAGTTGCTGGTGTCTTTTGGGAAAAGTACTGATACATCCAACTGTTCTTAGGTCATCTAAATTGTGAAGGGATCACATATCACATATCACAGTCTCAGGTTTCAGACCAATTTTTTTCTTAAACAGACGTCTCGGTGCACAGCGTTGGTTCTCCCTCGACGGCCAAAGAAATGACCACTCGGTGATTTGCTAGGTGAGTCATCTGACCGACAGCTCCATGGCGACTTCGGCTGCTAAACTTCGTCATTGCACCCTGGTAATAAGAGAAAAGCTATTGTGTATAATCCACAAAATCAGTCCCTTAATCCCGTTAACACTAAAGAGAGCGAATCAAACAAAAATATTTTTTCTAAAGATCTGAATTAGTCGGAGCTACTCTACCCAAGTTATCCGTTGTTCAAATGAGTTATATTTTATACTAAAATGTTCAACTCGTATCGGTTATCAAAAACCTGAAATCCAATAAATGCATCAATTTTTACTTCAACCATTCAATGTATTATCGGTAATCAAATAATACTTAAGCACAAAAAATGATTAAAATGTTAGACTGCAATCCACAAATAGAATTTACTTTAAATTTTTCGAACAAAAATACAAAAACCGAGCAATGAATATCGTAAAATATGTGCAATAGTTTTGTGATATCAGTAAAACTTTAAATGACTCCCAAGCCACATACCTGGAGCATCTTTCTTCCCTTCACAGCACGTGTGAGGGCCACGGCCATTCTTTGCATGCATGGTTTCAATTCTGAGGGGGCGTATGTACTGTAATAGCGCAGATTTGGAGCCCACTTGCTTTCGCTGTCTTCCATAAGAATTGATGAAGCAAGATGGACGGCTGCGGCTGCCTTCATAGATGACGAGAACTGCACACACGTTGCGTCGGATAACATCAAGTCCATGAAGTAAAAGCTCAGGTTACGGACCTGAACAGGTATAAGAAATTTATGTTCATGTAAAGACGCATTATGAGCCCATTTAATAAAAGGAACAAGAAGTTTTGTTATCGTCAAAACTTAAGGAAAAGGAGATAATTCGCGTTTACATTATGCATTCTCTTTGAGAAAAAAAGTACATATATGTAAATGAAAAAATATAGATATGGAATGAAAATTAACTATTGTAAAACCCGCGTTATTTTACATAAAGCTTGTTCACTTTTTCCAGTTAGTCTCATGCACTCACCGTTGAATCTTGGTCAGAACCGCGCACTGCCTTGAGGTATCGCTCAACAAACACCATTGGGTTCGGCATGTGGAGGCTAAACCGAAGCACTTTCAAAACTAAAATCTCCATTTTAAGTACTTGGTCTTTCGTGTATGATCCGTCAGTCAAATGAGTGAGGGTGTCAATCTGTAAAATAAAAAACGTTTGTGTACATGTAAACAAAAAGAGCAATAAATTGTACGGGGTTGTGTGAAAACGATATCAAGGAAAAATTCTAAATCATTTGCAATATGGGCTTCTGTAAGAATTGTGATGAAGCCATTAAATATGTAATATTTAGCGAGTCTATTTAGTATATCACCAAAATGCATACCAATCCTTGATACAACCAACCCCAAGCGATCCAAATCCTCAATAGAGATTATATCTTGGTATTTATTTAAATAATAAAACAGTTAAAAACTACCATCCCATCATGTTTTTAAAAGTAAACTTCAAGACAGATTTATTAAAAAACCACTGGTAAAGGCTTTATGAAATTACAGGTCTGTGTGAATATATACCTCGGGTGGAAATCTCTCTTCGAACTTGGCGGCAATGAAGAGGCAGGTGATCCCCAGCAGCTGATAGCGGTCAAGGCCAATACTCCTGCGGCTTGTGAATATGTCCAGCATCGCAATGGCCATGTGAATAGTCTGGGACTGGATCTCAAGGTGGACCTAATAAGTAGTTGCAATAGAGAAATATATCAGTTGCTAATATACATGTTACTTCTTATCATATTAGCACCTGCACTAAAATGTGTCCCAAACCGATAGTTGCAATAATAAAATATATCAGTTGCTTATGCACATGTTACTTCTTGTTCGTGATGTCATCATATTAGCACCTGCACTTAAGTGGGTCTCAAAACGACTTTTTGCAAATGTTTGATGTACGTCAGTATGGATATTTCAATTTATAGTGACTGTTTCCGTTTGTGGAGTCATAAAAATCCTTTTCATCCTTTTTTATACAATTCATCGTAATTTCATCTGCTAACATATTCAACTAACCTCCACTTGCAGCAGCCAATCCACTAAAATCTCCCGCATTTTTGGGGTGACCTCCGCACAGTTGTCAAGAAAATCTGGTCCCAGTTTATACTTGTGTTCCAGGTCCTGAAATGAAATCCCTCTCCGTGTACCATCTTCAAAATTGATCACTCTCTTACTCAATTAAAGCGGCATTATAGAGGACAACGGCAAGGTAAAATACACTAAATTGTAGAAGATATTAATGTTTAGACCAAGTAACTACTGTCAATATAAAACATTTGATCGGCTGGTGACGTTACTGGGTGATATTTTGGAGCTTTAAATCAATGTTGATGTAATTTCACACACGCACACACGCACACACACACACACACTAAATGGAATTCCTACCTGCAGATAGTTTACGACGTCCTGTGAGTATTCTTTACACAGAAACAAGTCCGTCTCGTCTTCGTCGATGTCAATGACGCCATTTGGCCGAGAAATTGGAAAAGCTTGCTTCAAGCAACTGAGATCAAAAGTATCATCTGAAATTGTAATTTTAATAATAAGGGTATGCAATTGGATCTTGTTCTACAACAATCTGGTTCACCTGCAACTTGAAACTGCCAGCTCCAAGGAATTTTTATAGAAAACTGATGTAGGGGACGAGCAGTAACAGACTTGTGTGATATGTACCCTTTGCTACAATATTTAACGAAAGGCATTCAATTTTGTAACAAGCTAAAGATACCCCTGTCGAGAGGGGGGGGGGATGCAACATGCATGTGACGCTATAGATCAATTTAAGGTAAAGTTATTCTAAACTGGGTGAAATATAGAACCAAACAGGTTCATGTTGCGAGCACCAGTCAAAACAGCAACAAGATAGGTTCATCGCTCGCATCTTTTAGAGATGAACCTCTACCCTCAGAGACAAAATTTGAAAAGATGTCGAGTAGCCATCTTGTCCCTCGCTTCTTTAACCATGAAAAAATTGCGGCAAACTTTAAAAGCACTTAAAATAAAACGTTAACTTCTTATCCAAAAAATTGCCCAATTTACCTTCTGTCTCAGACTTTTTGGGAACTGGCACAAAAAACCATTGCGGCAAAACTTTTTAGAAGTATTTTAAATAAAATGTTAACTTTATTTTTAAAAATTGCCCAAATTACCTGTCTCCAACCTTTTGGGGACTGGGACAAAAAACTCCCTGGATTTGGTTTTCTCTGTCAGTCGTGGTTTACCTGACGCTAAACAAAAGTTTAATACAAATGAAGATATGTTTTCATGTTGGCAACTACACATTTCAATATACTTAGTAAAAAAATTATTTAACAGCACTGAATTCGCAAATAGAACCATAAAAAATAATTTACCTTTTTTAGTCACCTCGGTTCTGGCCTTAACTGGAATGCGAGATGAATGTTCCTCATTTTCATTGTTGGCACATTTTATTGGGTCGGAAAAATTCCCCTTTTTCGACTTTTTTACTTGGCCGCCCATGGTTCTATCAAATGTGTTGCTGACATCATCGAAGGGACGTTGCTGCAAAATTAATGTGCAAAATCAATGATAGGCAACTTAAATCCTACAGCGAGGTTTCTTTCTTGGCATTATCAAAACCAATATAAGGTACATAGCATAACTTAACGATAAAAGTCGCAGATCTAGTCACTTGGATTTAAAATCTTATGACCAAGCTACAAAGCTTTGCACATGTGCCTAGATTACACGACTCGCCATTACAAATATTTCAAACGTTTATATACTCTACCTTGCCTCTCATGCGTTTTCCCATAAAATTCTTGACATTTCGTTTCATTTTTGACACGTTGTTTATATTGCTGGTCTGAACAATTGCTGCTGTTGACGCCATTGTTTAGAATCCCTTTACAAATCTGAAAAGTAAGAAAATTGTTTCTATAATTTTGACTATATGTGTCGAGATCAATATGACCTGTTGAATCTTGTGTCGCAAATATTGAGTCCTGAATTTTTTTAATGTGCACTTTAGATATGGACGTCAGAGGTGTTCAGAATTTAAATTCCGAAATCAGGTCAAAAGACACTGTCAAAACTCAATCAAAAACCAAGTGACACAAACCGTCCTCTGCTACGGCGAATGTCGTGAACAAAGAAACCAAGGTGTGGTGTAACGCGCAAACATGCGTGGCATGCACGTTTCCGAGAAATACCACGCCCGGATCTTCTGAGCACAATTAGATCCACTGTGGTATAAAATACAACACGAGTCATCGAGGTGTATGTATATATGCGGCCTATGTGATGTCCACGAGTGCGAAGATATGTTGACGAGTGTCGTTTTTCAACTTCTGTCCTAGTGGTTGTCGAGAAAAAGAGACCCAAACGTGGTGGATCTAGCAGTCATGCGTTACGTGCGCACGTGCGAATTTTTTCTTCGCTAATGGCAGAGTGTGACGTCCTTTTATAAGTCTAAAGTCGTACATAAACATATCTTATATATATGTCTTTTTAGATTAGAGCGGCATTGACTAATTGTTAGATGCAGTCAGCTCCAAAGATAAATTATCTCTAAAGACAAAGACACCGAGATATGCTAGCGACAATCTTACCTGTAGTTCCACTGCCTTCTTTTCAATTTTCTTCTATCGCTCTTCAAAGCTCCCCAAAGATCGGCTGCCTCTTATACTAGTACGACTGACCACAGGGGTGAACAGTTTTGACCGGTATTTGCGTGCTTGGCCAATCAAGACAGTAGACGTAAGCAACCGAGCACATGTCACAGAAAAGGGTCAAGGTAAAGGTAGGCACACCCACAAAATTATTGGCTAAGTTACTGGCCCCATCAGGTTAGAGCAGTCAGTTTCGCATGCGCACCTATCTCAGATGCAAGTACCGTTTGAGTTTTGTTTCACGTTCTTTCTGACGTAATTCAACTGATGTGAAGTCACCATGCTGATCCTCCAGTAACTTCTACCAGGGCCACAAATTTTTCATTACAAATTCACAGACATGTCTCTGGCTAACTATGTGCAATTTTCTGTACAGTGCAGTACTGTACTGCACTGCATACTGTACTGTACTGTACTGTGCTGTACTGTACTGTACTGAACTACCTACTGTACTGTACTGTACTGTACTGTACTGTTCTGTACTGCAATGTACTGTACTGTACTGTACTGTACTGTTCTGTTCTGCAATGTACTGTACTGTGCTGTACTGTGCAGTACTGTACTGAACTACCTACTGTACTGTTCTGTTCTGCAATGTACTGTACTGTACTGTACTGTACTGTGCAGTACTGTACTGAACTACCTACTGTACTGAACTGTACTGTACTGTACTGTACTGCAATGAACTACCTACTGTACTGTACTACCTACTGTGCTGTTCTGTACTGCAATGTACTGTACTGAACTGTACTGTACTGTACTGTCAGTGTGCTGTACTGAGTATGTGCTGTGCTGTGCTGTGGTGTATTGTATCGTTCTGTACTGTACTCGCATGATTTAACCAAAGACAGGAACTGTGAACATGTAATGAAATATTAATCTGTGGCACGCTCTAGCCCTACGGGATTGCAGTAATACTACAATTGCAAGTGAAGTCCGCGACTCACTGTTTCCACGATTTACAGTAATCAAATATCAAACTTATGGACACCGAATATCTGGATATAACAAGATTTATTGACGACAGGCTAGACATATGCGTAGGTGTCGGTGGAGGGGGGTTGCCCCAATGTTTCAGCGTTGTAAAATGTTGTGAACGTGCTGTAACGCTTCAACAGATCGATGAATTGCTGAAAAATTCCCATCAAAGTAAAAACCGATGACATTTGCTGAACTGAACACTGAAGTTGAAGGCTGAAGATGACTTCTTGCTTAATCGGTTTGTGCGCGCTAACATAATAAATCAAGCGCTCAAGTAGTATGGGGTCAGACAGTGACGCACCCTTGGCAACAAATAATACCCCTCTTTGGGATAATTGAGCATGTGCGAAATGCACATGTGCACAAATATGAGCTTTAGATATTGTTGTTGCCATAAATTTTCCTTTGACTATGCCGAATTTCTCTTTTTATTATCCACGTCGGTCAAAGGTGCAGGGAGGGCGGGGGCTATCATTGTAGAAAAAATTATTTTCAGACAGCTTCTCGATAACAATAAACACAGCTAGCAATGTTGTTACTCAGGGCCATACACATTGAAAATGAGTTCGTTTCTGTCACAGTATTTTTAAATCGGCCATAAATTCTATGAATCTAGAAAGATCTAGAAACAGAGTTAGACATAATACGAAAGTGTTCGACGAGGGAAAATCGTGTATCTCCATCCAAAATCGGAGAACATTTGCACTGTTCAACTGCATATCCTACGTGGTCCTATGTCGCAATTCTAATATAAAACAGTAGCCGAGGGTACTTTTACCTAAAGCCCACACCCAACTTTGAATCCACCGTAAACAGTTTTACACAGTAATTGCAGTAAAGATAAAATTGAATTTTTGATAAGATCCAAAATTCATTCAGGACCTAACTAAAATTCACTCGATTAACTTCAGTTCGAAATGAAATGCTACAACAATGCATTGGTTATTTTAAAAATATTTTATTCTAAAATATAAATAAAAATATTACAATTATAGTTCTTGACAAAACCATTCTAATTTTCTGTCATTTCAACAATACAAAGGACTACAAATACTGCTTTGTAACTATAATACATTCTTTGGTTTTAAGACATTTTAAATAACGACTTTTAGTCGAATAAACACAGACGCACATCAAGAAACGCCCTCATTAAGGACAGGGGATTAAAATGTAGACAGATTTTGAAAACTTTGCGCAGGTTGTATATATTCTGCATTTCCCGCTTCCATGTAGGAAACCTCGGAGTCCATCATTTCTGGGGAAGGCACAGAATTCGCACTCTGCGCGTCGGACGTGTCTTGGGCCGCCTTGAAGAGCCAGTTCCTAGCTTTACTATGGGTGGACTGGCTGGAGGAGGCGCCGCTCTTGTACTGACAAGTGTACCAGCGCCAGACACCGAACCCAGCGGCACCAAGAAGGACAACAATCAGAGAAACGCCAACGTTCCAGCCCAGGAGAGCCATGGTGGTATTTTTGTTTCTACGGCCGACCTCCCGCGCCTCCGCTATCTGTCCACGGACGTCATGCAGCTCGCTCCTCACTTCTTCGAGAACTCGTTTAAACTCGACTTCTTTACCGCCGTCAACTTCCGTATTGAATTCTTGTACTGGAAATTTGTAAAGAAAATATTCAATTTTGTTGTTAATTGATCATTTTGTCATTTCGATGCTCTTTAATGCACTTTGTATGATTATCATAGCTGGACTATTATTGATAACATATATCGACTGTCATATGGAGTTAACTGTAGGCAGCTTTAACTTCAATCATCAGTTAAAACTTCAATCATCAGCTACTGAATTCAGTCCAGCACTCCAAAAGCAGCCGAATAGGAAGCAAATTTTAAGTAGGGGCGCTAACCATTGGAAAAATAATCAACCAAGGGTGTGTTTCTCCTTAGCCCTTACCCCCTGCGCTTACGACTCTCATGGTTAAAAAATAATGAAGCTAAGCCCCCCTTGGCCCCCCTCCCCCGTAATGAATAATTTAGTTTTCTTATAGATAAAATTTTGTCCCTTTTCCCTTCTTCTTGTCCAGGACTCGGATATTGGATTTACATTTCATTAAACAGTCATCAACTGAAGAAAAGTAAGTTTAGCTGCTAATTAAGGCATTGCTGTTAATGGTTTATTTGCAGTGAGATCTCCATTCACCTTTGAACAATGTCGATAATGGCAAAGTATAACTAACCTAGAGGCGCTTGTTGTCCGGCCTGACCTGCTATGTCTAAACACAAAAAGCTACCTGGGATGTTGATGCACGTGGTACAGGTTTCCACAAGACATTCATCAATATCTGGAAGAATATCAACACAATAATCAACTCCAGAAAAAAAAAACAATTGAACATATCTAAAGACACAACAAAGACACATTAAAAAAGACAATTCAACTTCATATGGACATTTCTATACCTTATAACTTCTAAATGTTCCAAAAGGAACTCTTCTGATCTTAAGATAGGTTTGGTTGAATTGACTGATTCAGCAAATATTAATACTTACCAAGACATTCAGTGGTGTCGTTAGACAGGGTGTAACCAGCGTAGCAACCGCACTCAAAACTGCCCTCTGTATTAGAACACGTGTGATGACATCCGCCATTGTTAACGGCGCACTCGTCGATATCTGTCGGGGAAAAATTATAGCAATAGAAATAAAATATATCAGATAATGTATTCTTATTGTACAATGATCAGGACCTAATAACACAGCAATTTTTAATAGCAAAGCCTGATTGAAAAAAGCATCGGTAATGCTAAGACCAAGCTATAGCAAAATAAATAAAAATCGCCTCTATCAATACTTAGCTTGTATGTTATTATTGAGCTACGTGATCCGTCAATCAAAATCTTAAAGCATCTCATAAAAAGCTGTGGGGTAAAAAGTGTATGACGCTAGTTTAACAAGGAAAATTGAAAAAAATTTTCAAACCTGTGCATTGTTTCCCATTGGTGGGTCGGATATGTGTGTCATTCTTACAGACACACATTGAAATTCCATCTATTTGGTCGACACACTGAAATACATCTGGAATAACAAGCATATTTGGTTTTTGTAAATAAATAAGTCAAAATAAGTATATGAACATCACTAGTGCAGAGGCTGAACTATTGAATCCTTATCAACGCAATAAAATCAATTTTTCATAAGGTCGAAACTCAATGTACCAATTATAAGACATTTTTGCATTTTCTTAACATTTCGAAAGTGCCTATCACTATCGCTATATATGGTAATAATGTCATTGTATCATTTTAAGAGGAAGCACTACAGAAAAGGTCAAATTTGTTATATTTTCTGTATAATTTCTGAATGGTTTCAGTAAAATAATCCTACACCAAATTACGTGGGGTTTAATTTCACGTTAAGCTTTCATAAGAATACTCATTAATTTAAATGTCAAGGAATCCTTTTATAGAATTGTTCCACACCTGTGCAGGGCTTTGTATCCGGTATCAATTCAAATCCTTCGTTACAGGTACAGTAGTAGGCACCGACTGTATTAATACAGCGTTGACTGCAGCCTCCATTGCTGACTGAGCATTCATCTTCGTCTAAAACAACATTGGACTTGGATTAAGTTTTCATCAGATATAATAACAATTTTCTCGAGACTAATGATTTTAATCGATTAATACGTAGGTTTTTGCTTGAAAAACAGATGAGTATTGACCATCTACGAAACAAACTGAAACATGCTGTAAAGTAACAGAAAGCAAAAATTTATGGAAAGATAACATTTGCATATAACACCTATTAGAAATTTATTTTTCTTTCACGTCAGTCTACAAGTGGACTCTGAAAATTCAAGGGAAATTTCGTTCAATCAACTTATTCTTTTCGAGGGTGGATTTTCAAATTTCTTTTCAACTTAATACAAATATTTCACGAAGAATACCTTGATACGACGGTCCCGGTAACCCTGTGGCTCCAGCGGGCCCAGGTGCCCCTCTCTCACCGGTGTCTCCTGCAGGTCCTGCTATGATGTCAAACTCGCAGCCCTAAAATGAAGAGACACTCCATTAATCTCTCTCTATATGTATATGTTCAATTACAATGCAAGGACCACTAAATTGTTGACAACAACCTTTTTATTGAAAGCATTCACCGCCTCATAGAGATGTCGATAACGGTAAAGAAAGATTAAGGAAAATGGCTTTACCTTATTGTAGAGTTGACCAATAGGCATAGCATAGCTCTCCCGGTCTCCGGCTCCGTAGAGTATACCCATCAGTCGAACATTTGAGTCAGGATGGTGCAGAACGTGAGACCCATCTCCCGAGATGATGATATGGCCACCAACTTTGTTTGTACCGGGAACTGGACTCCAAGTGATGCCTCTCTGAGAAACAAATTGACCATCGATGGTCAGGCGGTCTTTGAACGCGTCTTCGATGACTATCATAAAATAATTGGTGTATTGACCGGCGGCTGCCTGGGGAAGAGAGAAATGGAAGTCGTTGGCGTATTTGTCCGTCGGCGGGATGACGATCATGGCGGGGTCTGCAACTATGGTATCGGAGGGGACTTGACTCATAACGATTTGTACGACCAGCACAGGGCGAGAAGACACGATGCGAGTTATTCTACTGGATGAAATTGTTCTCTCGGCGTAACCACCCGCAATGCTCAGGTCGATATTCTCCGTCCTCACTCCGTCATCCAGTGTTACACGGGTGTTGGCAAAGGCACTGACGATTTTGACGACGTCGCCGGTCGTTCGTTCAGGTATAGGCACTACGATGTATTCAGTGCCCCAGGAATCAATGGACGGTATCTGTTCTACCAAATGGTCGCGGGAGGGGAGACTGCTTGGGACGGCCGTTCTTATGTTCCCACTGAATACAGCAATAGGCTTGCTGGACACGATGCGAGTTCCGGTCAAATCAGCCCGGTTACCACTGACAATCTCTAGTGAATCGAAACGAGACATGGACGCTCTGATAAGATCCCCGTTTCTGTACGTAATACCTTCATATATTACGCTGATTCTTGGGAAAGCTATCTCCGGCAATGTGATGAACACCTCGGTGTCATTGTACGCCGCTGCTATTCCAAACTCTGTACTCGTCGTTGGTGGGGCGTATGAAACTGTCAGGTATTCCGTTCCAAGAGCATGGACAGGAATAGCAAGGAAACCGTCCGCCGAAAATTCGTCCTTGTTAATGCCAAACACGGCGATGTCTTCAGTCGCTTCTATGAGGAGACCCTGCTTTGTCAGACGGGTTCCTTGCATACGCATGTTGTTGTCTATTTGGAATAGAGAAACCTCTCCCTGTTGGACGACACGTGTGATATTGGTTCGGCCGAAAAAAGTCTCGCACGGTAACTGTCGTTGCCGCTACGTCGTCGCGCCCCAGGGTTACAAAAACGTCCAGTTTAATAATGGTGGGTACCTCAATGGTATTTTCCATGAACATCAAGAAATACTCTTTCCCACCTCGGAATATGGTTGACCTACACTCTGCAAAATATGGACAAAGGGTAAATTTTAAATTAACATAATTTTCTAACTGAAGAACTCTATCTTACTTATAGTGCTCTTATCGATGTGTTAAATTCTACTACCGTTTTCAAAAATGTAAATACTGCATTATGTGTAACTACCTTTTAACAAAGACAATATTTCGTGACATATAAATCAGAAAGCAACAACACGATAATTTTGATTATTTGTTTCCTTAAAACATTAGATAGACAAAGACACTCAATAAAAGGACCGCGAAACATACAAACAAGCCTCACAGAAAATTACCTGGTTCATAATATCCCGTCTCTCCTCTAGAGCCAGTAGGTCCAACTGGGCCTGTGTCTCCCTTTTCACCTGTGGGCCCGACAGCCCCAGTGACACCTGTAGCACCTGTATCTCCTTTTTCCCCTGTAGCACCAGACTCTCCAGCAGGCCCTGTATCTCCTGAAAGACCCCGATCTCCCTTCGGCCCCGTAGCTCCAGTTGAACCATTTAATCCTGTTGGTCCCTGTAATCCGGGATCCCCTGTATCGCCTTTTGGGCCCGTTTCGCCTTGCGTTCCGTTGAGACCAGCAGGACCAGGATCACCGGTGTCTCCTTTCACGCCCTGGGTGCCCTGTTCTCCAGTTGCTCCCTGTTCCCCAGTGTCACCCTTGTCTCCCTTCGCCCCAGCTTCACCTGTTTCACCCCGCTCTCCACTGGCACCAGTTGGTCCAGTCTCCCCCTTTGGACCTGTTTGCCCAGCAGAACCATTCCTTCCCGGCAAACCAGGATCACCTTTAGGGCCTGTCTCTCCCATTTCACCAGAGGCTCCTTTCTCACCTGTTGGTCCTGCGCTGCCAGTTGCACCTGTTGCTCCTGAAGTGCCTTGAGGGCCAGTGCTACCTGTGTCACCTTTAGAACCGCCTGCACCTGAGGGACCTGTCGGGCCTCTTTCTCCTGTGGCACCTGCAGCGCCATCATTACCGGGAGCACCTGTTGAACCATCAGCACCAGGCGATCCAGTGTCACCCTTGGCACCTCTTGGCCCTGTAGTTCCTGGCGCACCTTTGTCTCCCTTTGAGCCAGTTGCTCCCGTAGCACCAGTCGAACCAGTTGGTCCTGCTATTCCACTATCACCTTTTTGTCCAGTACCACCTGTTGCACCAGTTGCCCCAGCTTCTCCAGTTGGGCCTGTTGCACCTGTTGGCCCAGTTGGGCCTGCTACCCCGCTTTCCCCGGCAACATTTACTACTTCGCCTGGTGGACCTTGAGGTCCACGGTCACCTTTCTCTCCTTTGGGACCGGTAGGTCCTGTTGCGCCATTAATACCGTCTGTCCCATTTATTCCAGCCAGTCCTGTATCTCCTTTGGGTCCAGTGGGACCAGTGTTGCCGGTTGGGCCGGTCGCCCCTGTGCTCCCCTGACTTCCATCATTCCCTGCTTCCCCAGTTGCTCCCGTATCACCTTTTTCACCAGTGGCCCCTGGGCTACCCGTACTGCCTGGTGGACCCTGTTCTCCTGAGGGTCCAGTTGACCCAGTTGTTCCATTCATACCCGAGGCTCCCGTAGGTCCCGTGGCTCCAGGTTCGCCCGTGTTACCAGTTGCTCCTGATGCTCCAGTAGGACCGACTGCTCCAGTTGCTCCAGTTTCACCAGTTGGTCCAGTGCTGCCTGTCTCACCATCGGCCCCAGGTTCTCCATCTACACCATTTGTACCTGTCGGTCCTGTGGCACCAGGGCTACCAGTTTCTCCTGTAGTTCCTGCTGTTCCGTTCAATCCAGGTAGACCGTCTGCCCCTGTGGGTCCTGTTGCACCTTGTGGGCCTGTTGCTCCAGGTTCACCATTCGTTCCATTATACCCAGGCGCTCCAGTTTCACCAGTTGCACCACTAGAGCCGGTCGGTCCAGTTTCTCCAGACATACCCGTAGGTCCCGCAGCACCAGTTTGTCCAGTTGGTCCAGTATTTCCTGTTGGACCGACAGGCCCGCTTGCACCAGTCACGCCTTGCTCCCCCTGAGGACCTTGGTCTCCTGTACTACCATTGACTCCTGGGGTGCCAGGCAGACCTGTCGCTCCAGTCTCCCCTGTTGCTCCATTTTCACCAGTGGCTCCAGCTTGCCCTGTGGGACCAGGAGGACCTTGCGATCCAGTGGAACCGGTCTCGCCAGATGCGCCTTGTTCTCCCTGTGGTCCAGTTGGCCCAGGAGGTCCTTGCTCTCCTTGGGCTCCTGTGGGGCCAGATGCCCCTTGGGGACCTCTTTGTCCAGGGGTGCCTGGTGGTCCTTGAATCAGGATGCCTCCATCGGTTCCATCTCCAGATGAACATGTCTGTTATGAAAAGGGAAAAGTTCACAATACGAAAATTAATTTCAACTTGTATCACTACATGTTTCTAATGCAATGGCAAGACAGTGTAGAAGAAAATGTTCTCAGAGCACATTGTTAAAGCTGAATACTGCATTAAGCCAAATACGTCAAAGACAATGACATTTACAAGTACATTTACAATTAATCATAAAAACCCGTTGCAGATTTTGAGAGAGCCAAAATGAAAAGAGCCGAAAGATGGCGACAAGAAAGAGAATAGATATACACTTTAATTGTAGTGCTGCTAAAATCGTACTTACAATAACAAAAGTAAGAACATCTACTTACAGATGAATATGTATGGCCTAGGGGTAAAGCATAACTCTCTCTGTCGCCGGCCCCGTATATTATAGTCATGAAGCGGACGTCTTGGTTTTCATGGTATAAATGATGAGGGTATCTGCCATTGATTTCAAGGTGCCCTCCCACGAGGTTGGTTCCGCTTATGTTGTGCCACTGAACACCAGACAAATGGGAGAAGTCCAAAAACAGTCCAATTTCTTTTCCGCGCTCTATTGCAATCAAACAGAAATGGCGGTACGAGCCGCGTGTTGCATTGGGGGGAACGAAATGATAGTCTTTCATGTACCGTTGTGTTGGCGGGACTGAAATCATGGCAGGGTCTGCAAGCTCCCCGATGACCTGGCTCTTGGCGATCTGAACCACCATAACTGGTTTGTCTGCGGCGATGCTGACGTACTGACTGGTTTCCAATGACAGTTCCTTAACGGCTCCGCGGTCAAGAGTGGTTCTTTCATACACATCAGCATACTGGATGGTGATGTTTGTATTGTCGACGGAAGCAACCACTCGAATCACATCTCCAACAAGGCGTTCTGGAATTGGCACCACGGCGTAGGTCAAGCCCCAAGCGTTCACGGGAGGGAGCTGTTCTACCAAATGGTCCCGGGAGTAGCCGCTCTCTACGCTTGTCCTTACGTTACCACTAAACACCGCAACGGGAAGGGAGGCCAAAATGTGTGTTCCAGTCAGATCACCAAACCCGACGTCGATGATTTGAACGGAGTCATGGCGGTTTACAAACAAAGTGATGTGGTCCCCTGCTGTGTAATTTTGACCATCCACCTGGACATTTTGTACACGGCTGGACAGGTGGATCCTAATCAGTGTGCTATCAAAAGCGACGGCTATGCCAAACACGGTGCTGGTGGTAGGCGGGGTGTATGACACTGTGAAGTACTCGGTTCCAAGAGCGTGGACAGGAATGGCCAGAAAACCATCAACAGAGAACTCGTCCTTGTTCAGACCATATACCACGACGTCGGCAGAAGCGGAGAGGCGCAGTGCATGCTGGGATGTTGTACTTCCATGTAAACGATAACTGGCTGGGACAGGCACTGTGTGCACCTATATAATGATAAAACATAGCTCCAGCAATCATATAAGTATAGAATCGTTTAGATGAGTTATCAGAATAGATATTTATAAAACACCACAGTTAAGAATAAACGCATCTTGATTATATTTTGTCTTTGACGTTGTTTTAAGTGGAAAGCGGCCTATTTAAACTATTTTTTAATGTTTTAAATTTCTAATTAAGCAATTAGCTAAAACTAAAAACCCACCGTATTAAAATAATTCCAAAATACCATAATCAGTTTGATTCCTTTTACAGCCATAATAACCTTAACATGCTAAATATGAACCTGAAAATGCACATTATCCCCTTGACATACATGTATAATTTGTGATATTGTAAGATTTTTTGTCCTTACCTCGCCTTGGTGAACCGTTCCATTAGCCATTGTTGCGTTTAATGTATCGATACGATAATTGACCTGAAATTAAAACAATATGTAGAAAAATCATTAACCATATACTTTTTATTTTGTTTTCGTTTTCCTTTAAGTACTCGTTTAACAAGAAAATTTGAGTACATTCATCACTGTTGTCTTCTATAGAGTTTCATTTGCTGTCAAATCATTAAAAATCTAAAATGAAGTCTCTAAAGAGATAACATATTATGTAGAAACGCATGAATGAAAAATGTTGCAAACAATGTTCCTCGGTAACGGTAAGGAGTGGCTATAGCTTTCATGCCACAAGAAAAGTGCATGTCGTCACAGGCCGAGACGCTATACTGTTGAAATAGCCTGCGCCACTCACCGGCCCGGCTCCTCCAAACCCTGCTGAGATGAATAGCTCCATTGGCATTCCCGTTGGAACTTCTACAATATTCTCCAAGAAAATGATGAAATACTCCTTTCCACCTGATACTGTGCAAGCTGAAAACAAAAGAAATGCCAATTAATATAACTGCTATATGACTATTTCAATGAGCAGGAATCGGACCTAGTAATTACATTAAATACTGCTTGAAAGTAATACAAGATGATGAATTATCTGCGTTTTCTTTTATAAAGTACAACAGTACTGTCGCCAGTTGCAATTGTTACATGAAAAGAAAATCAAGGTGTACTAAAATGGAGGTTGAAATCAACCTTTTTCCTTCTTCTCATTAAAAACAACATAAGTTAATCAATAAATATACTAGAATCATAATTTCCTATTTCTTTAAAGCGGCGTACACTCACCCGCATTCGGCAGTTGAGTGTAATCAAATATAGGTGCAGGATTTGAGCTGGGTGTTGTTGGTCCCTGGGGACCTGTCGCTGAAACAGTACTCGTAGGTGCTGTTGCTGCTATTGTACTTGAAACAGGTCTTGGTGTTGAAGCTGCTTGTGATGTTGCTGTTTCAGTTGTTGTTGTTGGCGACGTTGTAGTCGTTGCCTCCGTTGTTGTCTCTGTTGTGGTCGTTGTTTCTGTTGTTGTCGACGCTGTAGTCCTTGTTTCCGTTGTTGTTGACGATGCTGTTTCAGTTGCAGTTGTTGGTGAATTCGTTGCTGTTGTTACTGCTTGTTGGACTGTAGAAGTTGTCTCCGAGGAAGCCGGACAATCCTGTGCACAATTAGAAAAAAATAAGGATATAGTGCTAGGGAAGATTAAATTTTCTAAAATCAACAATTCAAATTTGTAAAGCCACCTTTATTACACCTTTAAACGCCATAGTAGAGATCACAGGATCGTTTTTTTTTTCAAAGAATTACTTCAAACTTCTAATAATAACAATAACAATAATCACGATAATAATAATAATAAAAATAAACGTTTATAAACCTCTTACCTGATCAGACACAATATTCAAAGCCAGTGGTAGCATATAACTCTCGCGGTCACCAGCCCCGTACAATATGGCCATGAAGTGTTCATTCTCGTCAGTATGTCTCAAACTATGGACCTGGTTATCGCTTGCTACCTGAATATACCCGCCCACGAGGTCGGACTGGGGGACATTTTGCCAAGCATCCACCTGCAAGGGTTGGCCATCATAAACAAGACCGCTTTCCATTTCACTTCGGATGACTATCATGACGTAATGCGTGTACGTGGCGTTTTGCGATGGAGACAGTCTTGGCGTCATGAAGCGATAATCATAGCCGTATTGCTCCACCGAGGGCACGATGACCATGGACGGATCTGATAGTTCAGAAACTCTTGAGGGATCTCCTCTCTGGCTTTTCACGAACTGAACAACGAGCACCGGTTTATCTGCAACGATGTGGGTAACGCGGCCTGGAAGGACTTCAAGATCAAAATATCCACCCGCACTGGCGATGGTCCGCGTCTCATTCCCGGCTGCTCCTGAGAAAGTACAAGTGACGACCGTCCCACGTTTGCTGCTAACGATGCGGATCACGTCGCCCGTGGTTCGCCCTGGTGTGGAAATCACTGCGAACTCTTTGCCCCATTTGTCAATCGATGGTATCATCTCAGCTAAATGATCTCGGCTATCGAAACGCACGGGTTTAACGCTGGTTCGGCTGTTCCCACTGAAAATAGCTACCGGCACTGAAGACCTTATGTAACTGCCAGTCAAGTCGGATCGGTCTTGACTCTGCCATTGGTAACTTTCGAATGCCTTCATGTTGTAGATAGAAGCATTCTTTCCATTTGAAAGGGTGACTTCAATGTCTGTGTTGTCAGCAACGGCCACAACCGAAAACTGCGGGCTTGAACTCGAAGGCGAGTATGTGACCACAAAGTACTCGGTACCCAAAGCAAAGGTGGGTAAAACCAGAAATGCGTCAGAGGAGTACTGCATTTGATTCACACCTATCACAATGACGTCCTGGTCTGCCGTCAATCTGAGACCGCTTAAACAGTTCGTTGTTCCTTTCACGCGAAAGTTATCAGGCACAGAAAACATACCAACCTGGTCGCCATTTAGGGTCAGGGTTTGGTTACCGAGGAGCCTGGTTTCATTGTGTACGTTCGTGAGAGATACGTGGACGTTTTGTGCACCGTTTCGCCGCGGAGTTACCAGCACTTGCGCGGGCATCACATTCTGTTCTGGCACCGAGTTCTCCGAAAACATTAGGAAATATTCTCGGCCAAAGAGGCAATCTGCTTTCACATCTGTAACAAATTTAAATAAAAAATCATTTTTATCACAAAGGGTGTTTTGATCTATCGGGAATAGAAAAAATTATAAATCTGATATATTGTAAAATCTCGGTTGAAATAAAAACAATCTTTAAATTTGGTTTCCATATAAGGAAATAATAAATAAAATAATGAAAATCAATGTAAATATGAGAATGTAGTTAGAGCTGTGATGATGTTTTTTTTTTCTTTTTGTGATAAGTTAAATGGTTTCACAATAGGGAAGGCATGATAAGGCAGGCAAGGCTGGCTGGGTGGCTGGATGGAGGGGTCACTGGGTGGAGAGGCAGAGGAAGAGGCGGGTGAGTGTGAAAGGTAAATGGTTAATTAAGGGATGGAAGATAACTAAAGGCGTTGGCGGGGAGGGTGAGATGGAATTTGAACACATTTTGTAATGCACCCTAAGGTTCTAAGATAAGGCGTAGTTGGAAGTTAAATATAAGGGAATTCTCAAATTTAAGGAGGTTATAGCCAGGGGTAAAGCTGTGAGCGATTGGGAAAGTGGTAAGTGAATTAATGGGGCGGATGTCCAACATTTTTACAATAGAAGGCATGTAGCCAGAATTTGACTGGTGAAAACGGACAATACTTCTTTCAAGGGAAACTGTGAACAATGGGAACAGCCTTCTCAGATAAATAAATTATTAGAACATTCCACGCGAGACAAGAGTCTTATCTAGCTCAACCCCTTATTACAACCATGAATAGTGTATTTTCGTAAAACAGGGTTCATCCGGTCAACTACGTGAACTATACATATATTTAGTTCCACCGTTTACGTTTTACCTTTTGCGTAGCTTCATGCACACATTTAAAACAAAGTGGTGTTCTAGCATCAGAATAAACTTGACATACTATATTATAAGGAGAGTACGTTCACAAACACAATCATGACCACACTGCGCCTACACTTAACACAATCACAAAGAACCCGTACTCTTACCTCTGCGGCTCTTATCCACATGAAAATGTGATCGCGGAGAGAATTGTAAATGCGCCACGTTTTAGAGACTAGCTTGACGAGAAGTACAGGTAAAGATAATAAGCTTATTAGGCCTGTATTACAACTTAGTAAGAAATCAAAATAGGCGTAAAAATGATATTTAGGGGCATATCTTTGATGATAGGGACAGTGTAATTTAAAAAATTACCTTGTAGCTGGAACATCACTGCGGCGGCAATTAAAACAAGGCTCCGCATCGTGATAGGTCTTGACGGGAAACCCGTGCCTAGAAAACAACAGGAAAATATTAATGGGTATTTGAGATATGAGTTTCCTGCCAGATAACAATACTCTCTTCCTGCTTCCTGCCCCCAGTATCCTTGACAATATGCTCTGTCCTTACTTTGGATTACGATATCTCTACTATGACTGCAAAATGTAAACTTAAAACAGCAAGTCAGAGTTGGTCTAAAGGTGAAAATAATAAATCAAATGTTCAACCTGAACTCTTTGAAAGCACGTGTTTTCTATCATTCCATCTCATATCTGTAGATGTTCCTGTCGATGTAAATGCACCAAGAAAATTGTTCGGTGTTTAAATAATTTGAAATCTACACGATAAGGACCTTCCGAGTCTCCTGCTGCTAATATCCTGGTATTCTGCACTCCTGTGACGTATATGTATTTAGATCATTGTTCACACCAACTAACCCCACGTATCTGACAGTTTTAGAAGCACACCTTAACCCCCACCTTAAAGTGATAATAACTCTTCGTTTCGGCCAAAAAATGAATTTTCCTGGAGTGAACAACAATTTCCTCATACTTATCAATGGTTAATGAATCCACTTTTACATTCAGAGTTAGTCCCTGGTTTTTTTCTAAAAAGTTTGGTTTTTTGTTAAAATCTCTTAAGAGATTTTAACAGAGTATAGCCATCAATGGAAGTTACGTTGTCTAAAGACAAGCTCAGATATCAGAATAATAGCTATAACTGCCGTTTTTGTGGTAAAACAGAATATATTATATTTCTATGAGTTATTCACATTGTTTTTATTGTGAAATATAGATCTTATATGAAGAGTTATTATCCCTTTAAGAATGTTATTGTATGACGAAACTTATCCCAACATATACGCGCGACTTTTGATTTATCTGCTTTTCACTTTCATTGCGATCGCCTGCGAGCGGGATTTGTAAGTTTCACGTTTTATACTAAGGTACAAGCTGGAGGAACTAAGAGGGGCTCTTTACACTTAAAATTCCACATTAATGACAATCATGAACTTAATATATACAGCAGACAAATATATCTAATGTCTGACAAACTTGCCACCGTAATTATATGATCAAAAATTTTAAACCAGATTGAAAAATCTTTCCTGATGCTTAAAAGATTTTAGACAAATGCCGCAAATAGTTTAGATAACATTTCCAAAAAGCAAAAAGTTTAGATAACATTTCCATAAATATACAGCTTGGGTATTTATTTACGTGTTTAAAGCTAAATGATATCAATTTCACCACAACAAAGAAATTTTTATCCTGATTAGATAATTTTGTCTAAGAGAAAAGGGCAATAGATAAAGATCGATAATGAACATGATCAACAGTGCTGGTAATCCTTATTATTCCTTTATTGGTACTTGCACATTTCATACAATGGCTATGATTTAACAATTTAATACATAAGTTGCCTAGCCTTTTTAATCAACTCGACATAATAGTCTCATTTAAGTTTCCGACCCTGCACTTAGGTTTTTGTTCCATAACAATCTTTATATGCTTTAAGCGCCTCGGAGTTTATAATTACCACCTTTATTGACGCCATGGCTGTCATCAAGCCATAAAGGTGTTTCACAACTTCCTACCCTCGTCAGGGGGGGGTAAGAAAATATGCGTGATTTCCTCTTAAAGACAGCTAAAGCCAGTAATTAGCCCCAGCGTCACGCTCTTATCGCTGCTTCGCCGACTTCAGTAATTTGGTCTAATTGTCCTCAAAACGAGCTGCTTTTCGACTAATTACGAAACGTGAGGTATTGTTACTCGCTCGCGTTGCTTGAAATAGCTATCATATTGGACATGAGTCACCGTATTTCTTGTATGACAAGTTTTTAAGATGCTGTTCAGTTAATGTGATGGCAGGTTTAAAATAATTACATGCGAATTACTGAATGACATCATGCATGAATATTTAAGCCCAGAAACTTTTAATCGCTGCCCCAAGCCGCAGTAACAAATCTTAGGTGTTAACTGTAAAGTAAGAACTTCCTAAACAAATACCTTTCCCACTGAGTTAGGCAATCTAGGGACTTAGTTAACAACGCAAATGCTCCTTATTTATTGTTATTTAAACGCTGGTATAATTCCAGTCTTTCCACAGATCATTCGCAATTAAACGCGCATGTCAATTTGGAAATAAATAACTAAAAACTGATTTTCTCGATACCTTATACCAAATACCAAATTGCAACATCGAGTAGCTAAGCTTCTTGTTTCCTTTTTCTTTTTATTAGAAAAAATAATGCTTACAAAAGTTTAAGGAGACAAGTGATTATGAAAGAAACTGTATAACAAAAGTTTCTTCTTAGAAACGATACATTGTATTTAGTTGCAATTTCCGAGGACAAATACTAAAAAAGAGAAGTTAGCTATATAGATATTGTTAACGTTTGGAATGCTTTTAAACTGTAATTTAAAGTAAGCACTAAAAGTGAAACAATGAAGCAGTATTGGCTGTAAATGTACAGATCGCACGATTCTAAATAAGCCGATGTATTATTTAAAGGTAGATATGCGCTGTTTACATGAAAGGAATTAATTTCGATAATGACTTAAAAATCTATGCGTAGCCGTGATCATAATGAAAAAAGAAGCGATCGATAAATGTGTTTTGGTGCGTTATTCAACTACTAACAGTCAGGTTTGAAAATTGCTTTTTAAAGCTTATCGTTAAAAAAGCAGAGCAAAAACCGATAAGTTTAGAAACGAAAAAAAATCCTTAAGCCTATTTTCAACATTTTCATCTAACCCCGCTCTTGTCTAGTAAGATGAAAATCGTAAAAAAGGGATCATTTCTTGCAACATGCATTTCGGAATTTTGGTATGTTATTTCACTATTAATCTTAACTTAACAAATTGAAAGAATCTTGCCCTCATAAGTATTCTTTAAGTTTTCCACAATTTCTAGACTTTGAAGTAATAAAAAAGCCTAATAGTGTGAGAAATTAAATAAAAACTCACCTCTCATTTCTTGAAGTATATCTGCTACTCTTTCACTGGTTGTTTCTTACTGTTTGATATAAGCAAAACTTGACACTAAGTTACAGATGTTAAAAATGCATGGTTATTTCTCCGTCGCTTGGAGTCGATTTTAAGACGTCTGCTCAGAGTGAAGCTCGCAGTGAAACTGACGAACAAAGAATTTTTCGCAGGGGATTCCTCTGTCACGGTGACTCGTCATTACAATAGTATGTGAAAGATTACATCACACGGACCGTGACGTAGACTGACTTCCTTTGAGTCAGATGAGAAACTAGATCCTAGAACAAGATAACAGTTTCCTTATCATATCTTGGTCAATATCAGGAGACTCTCTTATGTTCCTTGTTAAATGTTTGCTCATCTTACACAATGCCAGTGTTAAGATTTATATCTTTTTGGTAGGAATTTATCAAAGTAGCTTTTTAAGTGTCTGATAGCCGTGTTTAAAGACAGACCAATTGAAAACAAATTATGAAAGTTTGGAAGCAGCAAAAGAATATGTTGATACCCTCTATTGTAATTTTTAATGACTCATTCAACACAAATTAACATAGCATTGACTGGTCTTCTTAAGTTTCATTTATTTGAATAAATGCCGTCTTTTTTGTATCACCAATCACATCTCGGACTATGCGTTCCATCATCTTAATCACAGATTGTCTGCATTTTAATTTGGTCGTAAAGTAAATTTATTTATTTATTTATTTGCTATAATCGCAACACAAAGGTTGAAGTTTTACAATGTATAAGAATAAAATCATATGGTATTTAAAAGTAACTAAAAATTATAAACTAAAAGACCAAAGCTTTAAAATAAGACTTATAAGACAATTTGGAGCAGTATTTTACATGAAATTTAAAAGACTGTGCATTATAAAGGATGATTTAAAACGCTCCGTAAAGTAAAATAGACACGTAAAGAATAAATCAGCAAGTACAGAAAATGTTTTGTTGTCCGAAAAATAACGAGCATAATAACGAGGGAGATCCTGCGTGCTTCAACTTCGCACTTTTACAGACACCATAAGGGCATGAGGATTATTCAAATCTTAGGAAGAAAAAGTAAATTTTCATAACTATATTGACCTTTCAACTTTCCAAAGAATTCTTATCTATAATGGCTAAAAAGGGGAACGAATCTTCTATCATCGTATTAAGACTACGATAAGCAACTTTTACATATTATTTCAAATCGCTCGCGTAATAGATACTACCACAACTTGACCACATCATATTTCTATGCATTTTTCATCAATATTCTCACTTTCTATCCATCACTTGATATGATTATACTTCTTTTTATTTTTAAAAATAATCCACGGGATATTAAATAATATGAGCTTCTTCTTAAACCCCAGCCTACTGCGCCTCTGCGTCACTGACCCATCCCCCTTCAGCAACCGACGCCCAAACGTGCGGAGGCAAATAGAAGCACGTGCACAGGCATACAAATATGTGTACCTTTATGCATCACACCTATCATTATCCATTATCAAGGATAAGGACAAAACATGCCGTCTGTGAGTTTCGCTAAGTCTGCATAAGACGGAGGTAACGTCAGCATGTCACACGTTAGTTGTTAATTTAAAATTAGCCCCTGCGAGGACAGACAAAAGGAAACGCAGTGTTTGCTTAACCTGTCATCAGAGCCCACTTCAAATTACTGGTGTAGCTACTACTGTACAGAATACGGGATTAAAGTCTTGCTTTTGAGCATTGTCGAACAGGACCGTGGTGATTAAATTTCTTGGTTAATACAAATTAACCATGAAAAAAGGATCATTTACCCAAGATACTACTGTCTGTTTTTCTCAAAAGTTAAGGTTTAACAACTAATTATCATTTCCCAGTAGCTGTCTTGCCTGTCAAAACTTCATCATCTCGCGGCAAAACTGCGTCAGTTACATCACCTAAATTTCCTCAAACTACTTTCTGACCACTAGATGCCCAAGAAGTACCAACTTCTTGGGGTGCGCTGGTAGTCTGTTACAAAAATTGTATGGCTCACACTGCAGTTTTTTTTTGCTATTTCAGGAGCCCCTGATATACGAGGGTACCATCGAACAGGTTTGACCAAATGATGCCTTGGACGATAATAGGAATAATCTGTACGATATCTTACAAAACAGACCGATAGCCGTATATTCATCACTAATCTACATGCTAAATGCTGAATGTCAAATTAGTGGTTTTGTTTTACAGTCTGAAATATTTTGTCTCGAAGCCGTCTGATCCATATCTCGATGCAGTTAGGCCTTTAAACCTTCAGGTTTTATTTGATCAAATGTGGCCTCATCAGAAGAAATCACCACTGAAATTACGCATACTGAAAATTGTTATCTTCAACGAACGGCTGCTATCTTGATCACTGGCTTGATAGCTCAATTTCGAGTGTATTGTGTTTTAAGTAAAAACAATAGGTCTGTTTACTTGTGTAAGTGACCGATACCTATCGGCATATCAAAAGACGATAAGGTTCAGAGGCCCAGATGTTAGCTGGTGTAAGTTCTGCGAAGACATGTGTCCTCGATTTTCGTCAATAGCAGAAGAATTACCAAGTTATTTTTCTTTAATCAACAACTTGTAGTACCCCCAATATTTTGACTTCTATCTTAATATATAGGAATGAAGCTATCAGGGGGAATATAACCTTTAACCAGGAGATACACTGTATATTTGTCTCCCCTACCACCGCCTTAAGAAACGGTGGCCCCATCATTTCGGCCGAGACTGGACCTCTTTTCCAGCTACGCCTGAGAGCACGGCACAAAATCAAGAGCCTCCTAAACGGCCAAATACAGCCAGTCAATTTTGACACTGTCACTTGTTTCGTCGCAGATGATCTTTTCTATGCTAAAACCCGTAGTATCAATGCGTATTTATTTTACCCTTAATTTCTTTCCAGGAGCGTGGCGCTTTCTGCCAGTGAGTAACGAAAGGCGATTCGAGAAATGTAAATTTGTCTTTTTCACCAGCGTGTTGTGAACTTCTTTTCTCGCTTACATATCTATGATATCTATATTTTATTAGTCGATCTTTTTCCCTTTGTTACTGCAAATGACAGACGTTTTTGCATTGGAGAGTTCGGCTGAGAGTTAAAAAAAAAACGATATTACCAAGTACTATTATAGTAAATATGTGAAGCTGAACCGGAGATACAACCAAAGGTCTATGTAAAACCTCCTTGAACAAACTAACTTAACACGTGCTTAATTGATACCTTTCACCGAGGAAATTGTATAGAAAGGAACCGTATGGTAATTTGTGCTTTGCATTAAAAAACTTTTCACAAATTAATACGATAAACAAGTCATCATAATTTTGCTATCTTTATTAAAATATCGATTTACACACATATAAATGAAATATTCAATTTATTAAACCTGTGAGCCCTACGGCTCATCAGAATATAAAACAGTGACAATATAAAGTTATATCTAATCAACTACAAATATACTTTCAGAGAGTTTTTGTTTTGCAGCCTGTACAGATGTTTTAGATAAACAGTCCACGTCTTAACATATAACAAGATGAAATAATGGTGGATTTGTAAAAATCATCTTGAAAGATATAGATTATCAGTCATTGTATATTTCTGAAAATAATCAATTTAAGTTAAAAACTTTAATATTAAGACAATATCCCATGCTACCTATTTAAAAAATAAACAAAGTAAAAAACCAAAAAAAGAAAAAGGTAAGATAACAAAAGTTGGAAAAAAAAAACATGCTTTGATTTTCTATGCAGAGAAAATAAAAACCCCTTCCATTACCTTTTTTATTTAATTTTATTTATTTATTCATTTATTTTGTAATAATCTCTTAAAGTTTATTAGGGAGGTATAGCCATCTATGAATGACCTCGTGGTCTGATGACAGGCACAAATTACAGAATAATTGCGATAGCCGCTGTTTCGGTGGTGAAGTTATTATATTTCTATGAGCGTTTACAATATATTTATTGCGAAATATGGATCTCATACGAACAGCTGTTATCCCATTAAAACTCATTTTAAACACGATTTACCAATTTTAATAACGCCACTGCTAGGCTTTAAACTTTTTGTTCCGAGGTGTGATCTCTCGACTTCTTTTTCAAGCCTGTGTAGTCTGCACATAAAGATCAGTGACATAAGAACTGCAATAACAGCGATAAGAAGGTATATCATCGACTGCCGAAAATGCCTCTGCGTGTCTTTTGTGCGCTGAGCTCTTATGTTATATTGCAGTTGAATTCGAAGTGTCTGAAGATGATTTACAAAAGACTCGTGTGGCTCTTCGAGATAGGCACTGTAGATGTCGCCACGCGTTCTTCCTGTCGCTTTCTTTTTGCGGCCACTTTGTCCGTCAATGCCCAAACAAAAATAATCACCTGGGCTGTTGATACACACAGACCGACACAATTCCCGATTCAAACACTCATTTATATCTGTAATAAGAAAATGATTTACTGTAAGTCTGAATCACGAATCAACCGACGGTCAATGACAAATGGTAATAATATCATCTTTGGATTAGCAAATCAAAATGAATAATCATTAATTTATCAATGCAAAGCATCCAGCGTATTCAATATAAATCTTCACCTGCTTTCTCACTTTTTAACACTACTAAAATGTGAACATGTCGCAATTAGAAATTCACACGTCTAATATTATTAAGTGCTTACGTTTGACGATGTCATTCATCATTTAGAAACAGCGACAACAAAAAATGTACTTTTAGTCCATTTTTTTCACGTTTACTTAAATACGCACGTCTTGGAATCATTTGAGAGACGATATCCATCCGAACAATTACAGAAGAAGCTTCCAATGGTATTAGTACACTGGTCTTGACACGGACTCTCCATGATACACTCATCCTTGTCTAGAATACAGAGTGAATAAATATCATACTGTAACCCCTGAGAGGTTGACCGTGAAGGGAACAATGTTACTTAAAAGTTTCGAAATAAACAGTTGATGCTCTTCAGGGAATATAAAAAAAGAGGCCACATTTTCATTTCTACATTTGTTTTAAAGGTTTGGACTTATTCTTTTTAGTGGGATATATTCAGTTTACATATATATTATTTGTTATTGATTTTCACGTGGCCCATCTGCATGTATAATTTAAACAAAGAGACCCAGGCACCACAGCCTAGGCGAAAGACCTAAGAGACATTCCCTTTTCATTATCGAATTTTCTAGCTTTCAGCAACAGGTGCTGTCAAAATGTGCGTTCCAAGAAGTAAAAAAAATCACGCTATGTCAGGTCCACAAATAATTTTTTTACCGCCAAGGCCTCACATCTCATGTCATATAAAAATGAAGCTTAAAGCCACTTATTTTAAATGGTATAAGTGTGTATTTTTTATCTGTGTTAATTGTCTAGAATGTCGCTCATAACTCTTGACACAAATGTCAGCGTACCTTGACACCTTATTCCATTCACTGGATATCTGCCATTCACTTGGGATCTTCACAGATACACAGCAACTGATTGTATTCGTTGAGCGCCACACACGTGATTTCATATTCTGAGAAAAGACAAGAACGGCATGTGCAGTTGACTGAAGCAATCGAAGGGGACTGTATAACGAATGCCAATCAAAAATTTTAATGAATACGAGAAAACCGAGATGTTAATTTTTTCAATATTTTTGCATTGCGACAGACTTAATGTAAATTCCAATGCAACAGCTCCGTGTTGAAAATGAATTAAGGCAAATCACACTTACCACAGGAAGTTGTGTCGTTTTCCCCGACCACCAGTTGATAGCCCAGACTACACGCACAGTAATGGCCGGCGTACGTATTTACACACAGGTCTTCGCATCCGCCATTGTTATAGTAGCACAGGGGTTCTCGTTGCAGTAACAACTGTCTGTATTGTTGGTCCAAAACTCTATTCAAAAATAAAATGTTTTTAAGAAACAAAATATACCAAAAGATATAATACATTATACGATGTCTAAAATTTCTGAAATTATATAAGTTAAGCAAACACGCATTAAAATTTGCAGACCTTTTTCTCAGTTTGAGAGCATGTCGAAAACTATTACAAGACTCCATATGCCGCTTCCACTTTAGAGACGGAGAACATGTCGCCATCAACTCCATCCATAAAAAGCTCCATCATACCTAAGAGGTACGCGTGAGTATTTTATGTGAAAACAAACATTAGCACAACTTTAAGCGTACGATATCGTACGTACGATAGTGTATTGACATAGCAGCGTATGCAATTGTTTTTTAATATGTTCAAAACATACAACGAACACCAACGTTTGCCTGCGTACTCGAGTCGAATAAAACATAAGTGACGTTATGCGATAAGAGAAAACGGGCGAGAACAAGCGTGAGCTGGGGTTAACATTTAAGTGACAGTTATTTTTTAGTGCCGGGCAAGTCATCTCAGAAATGTACAAAAATAACACGCAAATAAAGTGAATTAGACAGAATACAAACAGAAAATTATCTGTGGATAAATTCTGCCAGCTTTTATTCCTTGCCTCACCGCAATCTCTAGTCTCAAATTATTTCTGACTCTCGCTCGATTGAACGTAAAGTCGGAACACTTTTGGCTTTATCATAAGATTTGCATTAACTTTGACATTTATATTCAAATTTAGTATCCATAAATACCTCTTGTCAAATTGTGAAGCAAGCCAGTGAAGTCGTGTTCATGATCAAATGTTTCATTTTTCTCAGATCCGTCATGGTGGTGATGATGGTCGTGAGGGCTGGGACGAGAATGTGGGTGTCCATGAGGGCTGGGACGAGAATGTTGGTGTCTATGGGGGCTTGAACGAGAATGTTGGTGTCTATGGGGGCTTGGGCGAGAGCGTGGGTGTCCATGGGGGCTGGGGCTAGGACGTGGCTGTTCCCGGGGATTGGAAGAAGGGTGGGTTTGTCCATGGGGGCTAGGTGACGGAGGGGAAGGGCTATGGGGACTGGGAGAAGTGCGTGTGTGTTTGCGGGGGCTACGGGGAGAAGAAGGAGGTTGGTGGGAGCTAGGAGAAGGAGGAGGGAGGAACCAGAAGCAGCGATGGTAAAGGAACTGTGGGACCGTGACGTCGAACTTCGACCTGCTTGTTTCCTAGCCTTCCATAACCACTGCCCTGCAAAAGTAGCGAAAAAAATATAACGTAATAGACAGCATACGTAATACTGGAAAAGAAAAGAAATACTCTTAATCTTTTCGAAGCATGTTCTTTTTGAACAGCTTTATTGTATGACACATTTGTGTTCACTTTCAAAATTGAAATTTCAGGGAAGATAATTATAATATGCAACATTCCTCATTTCCTCCAGGTCTTCTTGCATTCACAAGTTTAATCTAAACGCTACACTTAAATCCTTTTCAAAATTCATACTGCATTCATTTCAAAATTAATAGGGTCACACAATTTAACACAGTGCCCCATATCGGGCCACGGAGAGAAATTTTACTAGATATCCAAAAATAATTTTTTTCTACTTAATTCTGTCTACATATCTGTATTGCAGGAGAGACATTTTGTACAATAAATTCAAATGACGCTCCTTCACAGCTGGCTTCTTTTAAGTAGAGAGTAGCGAGTAATGGTAACAAATTTCGCTCAGCGTAACAAGCATGGAAAATCGACCTAAAAATGGTTCGAAAACGGTGATTTGACTGAATGAAAGAGTCCAGATTTACATCGACCGTGGAGAAAACGATATCAAAGGGTATCAAAATGCAAGATAAGTGCATCTAATAGGTTGCTTAGTTAATATCACCTTTAATTATTATCTTTAAACATATTGTTGATCTTCTTTTTATTGATATAGTGTGTATACATATAAACCTACCATTGTTCTTGCCCACTATCAATAGAGTTATTCCTAACCTTAGCCATGGTGCACTTTGCAATCGCATCTGGAATTATGAACATTAAACATAAACGTAATGGTTGCTTTGCTTATATCTCTGTTCGACCTTCCAAAACGGGAATGATAATAAACATTAAGTGAATCGTAAATTCTCACGCTATCATGCACACTTTTGCAAGATTCTAAAAATTGCTTGGATAAGTAATATTTGCATTTTTTCGGCAGTGTTGATTTTATTATTCCAAATGGAACATAGGTTTATTACAAATTTGTCTAGACTAATTTGCTTAGAGAACATGACAATGTGTATTTTTCTGTTGAACATTGGATAACGTTAATTTGATTCATAAAGCCACATTACCTTTGATGGCCACTGGCTAATCCTATGAGTCGCGTCCGTAACTTGCTCAAGGAAAAGACGTAGGAGTTCCGTTTGAGTTTCCGTCAGGTGAGTCAGGTGGAGCAAAGTGACCTCCAAATTTTAAATAGGCGTAGGTATTTATAACACAAAAGGATGTCACATGATAAATTGATTACAGTAAATTACACTGGAGCCAGCGGGGAGATAAGTTTCTGTCCTAAGTTACAGTCCTTGGTTGCATCACTGATCGGTGAGGAAAATATAATTAAAGGATTGACTTCTGGGCATCCTCTATCACTCTATCTGCTTCCTTCAACATTGATATTAGGGCCTACATATAAAGACCATTGCACCCTTGGTGTGGGGTTCAGTGTTTTGGAGGGCAAACGGTGCCATTTGGTGCAGCTTAGGACTATGATTCAGCTCTTCAAAATTCTAATTTCAAGAGGAGATATTGGTGTGATTTTTTTCCAGAAACTGAAGGGGGCCAGGACCCACCCACTCTAAATCCGTCACTGTTTATGAAATATCATAGGAGAATAGTGCACTAAAACTTTGATAAAAGTTGGTTAATTTTCACTATACATTCACAGATATGTCTATTGCTCATTCTATACAATTTTTCTCTGCTTTCCAGCAAGAATTTTTTCATGGAATTAATTTCATCATTCCGCTGGCCTCGAGCATAGCGTGCCCTTTATCTGCGCTGCGCCTCTTTGGGAGTAGATAAAACGCAGTCCTTTCCGAAACTATTTTAAGAAAACTGTGTATATTATGTTAAAAGAAACCAATTGATAAGTATGTGATTAATGATAGTGTACATAAATACTTAAAATAAAATTTCAATCTTTGTCCTTGCCCTTATTCATTTATTTATTTATTTATTTATTTATTTATTTATCTATTATTTAGATTTTATTTTATTTATTTTTTTGTTTGTTGGTTTTTTTCGTCGATATTTATCAGAAAGATTTTAATCGCATTATAAACGCTGTTTCCTCACTTTGACAATGTCGATACTATCAAATTGAATGTCTTGTTCAGCAGCTGTTTGCAATCTTTATAATCAACAATAATGAATTTATAAAAGATGCGTTGTTTTCTAGAAACAGAGGTCTGATGAGCAGCTTAGTTAGCCGGTACATGTCCACATGATAAAGCAAAAGAGTCCGTTTTAAGAAAGTTTACAGCCAGTTTCGGCTGTTAAAACTAAGAATACGTTTCGTGTCACAAAGGCCGCATGCCTCTTTTACTTATATTGATATTGATATTCGGCTATTCACTGTGAAGTCGATTCTGTCGATGATCTTACTTTTCAAAATAAAATAAAAAAATTAATGCATCAGTTAAAATGTTTATTAAAACGTGCATCATAGGCAAGGCGTGTTCATAAAATGTGATGAACCATGCCATGCCGAGAGGAAAAACATGTAATGTGTAGATGATGAAAATGGTCGGATATTATAATGAATGATAATCAGAAGCAGTGCATTAATAATACTAAAAGCGTGCCCTAATAATCAGCACGCTAATACAAAAGCAATACAATGGTGGAAAACGTATAACGCACGGATTATTCTTTTAAAACAAATCCTCAATTTCAATACAGCCAATTTTTCGTTTTACGGACCTCAAAAAATGAAGAGAGATAAAAACCTACACAGAAAAAATGTAAGACAAAAAATGTTTAAAAAAAGGAAAAAGGTTCTTCTTTATACTTATTAAATGAAAAAGTTCAAAAATCGTTCCCAAAGCTTACCACAGCCGAACTAGCAGGCTGTATAACCTCAAAGCTTATTTTTTAATGACAAATTGGCAAATGTAACAACGTCACTACTGTGTTCAAAACTTTCCGTTCCTAAGTTCGATCTCTGGAGTTCTTTTTCAAGCCTGTTTAGTCTACAAAAAAGGATCAGTACCATAAGAACTGCAATATCAACGACAAGAAAGTACGCCACGGACTGCCAAAAATGTTCTTCTCTGTTCTTTTTCTGTTCAGCTTTCATGTTTTCTTGCAGTTGGATTCGAAGCTGTTGAAGTTGGATTTCCATGGATCCCTGTTGCTCTCCAAGAAAGTCACCATAGATGTCGCCACTTTCAATGCCCGCCGCTCGCTTCTTGCGACCGTTCTGTAAATTTCCACCGATGCCCAGGCAGAAAAAAGAACCTGGGGTGTTGATACAAATGGGTGAACAACTTCCCGGCAACAGACACTCGTTTATATCTGCGAAGAGAAAAAAGTAACCTCATACATGAAATCAAAATGGAGGGGACGGAACGTAAGATCAAAAGCTTTCAAGAAGAAACGTTCTTCACTCCGAATTTAAATCTCTTTGAAATGTTGAAATGCTGCAGAACTAAATTAATAACAGTACGAATAAAATCATTTTGTTACCCTCTTTACATACAATTTTAAGTCTAATGAGAAACTTGCTTCAATTTTAATATAAATCTACCCTAAAATGTAAAAACAAAAAAGAGCTAAGTAGGCCTATAACTACAGATAACTGTATGGATAAATTCATTTTATTGCTCGATGTCTCACTTACCAATGCATGTCTTGGAATCATTTGAGAGACGATATCCATCCGAACAACCACAGAAGAAGCTACCAATGGTATTAGTACACTGGTCTTGACACGGACTCTCCATGATACACTCATCCTTGTCTAGAATACAGAAAAGTGAAATAAAAGCGATATCTGAACATATTGGAATAAACCAGACGGCAGGATATAGAGCAAATGGATAATTTGTTTACATTTTTTCAGAAAAGATTTATTAATTTTTTTTTTTGGGGGGGGGGGGGGCAGATTGAATAAAAAAACTGCATTTTGACGGCGGATTGTGGCTTAAAACTTTTTATTGTGCCCTAATAACAAAGCACAGTAGGTAACCATCACATTCGCTTTCATTACAACCTCATGATCCTTTATAAAGGAATGCAGCATATATCATGCAGTTGATATAATCTAATCAGAATAATGGCCAAAACGAAGGTATTTTCTTTACACGTAGAAATAAAAAAATAAAATAAAAAAATAATAATAAAAAAAACTTTGCACTGAAAGGTATGATGAAAAGGGTTCCGTGATAAAAGACATTACGGGATTATTGTTGTACATGGTCATTTATCTGAAGTAAACCGATGACTATCGAACAATTAACTACTTACTTAAGTCCACAGTGCTAAAAATTCAAAACCAGCGTTTGATTGCAGAATTTGATTAAAGCCTTTGACTCTATGATTAGCGTACCTTGACACCTTGTTCCATTCACTGGGTATCTGCCATTGGGATCTTCACAGATACACAGCAACTGATTGTATTCGTTGAGCGCCACACACGTGATTTCATATTCTGAAGAAACAAAGAACGGTATTTACGGGTGACAAAATTACAAATACAGGTTGAACAATTGAGGTGAGGTAAATGTATGATCACTAATTAACAAAATACATGTCTCTGGTAATTCTCTTGATATTCGTGGGGTGAGTGGTTATTATTAGATTATTATTGTAGAATATATAACTAAAAATACTAAATAAGTGCAAATCACACTTACTACAGGAAGTTGTGTCGTTTTCCCCGGCCACCAGTTGATAGCCCAGACTACACGCACAGTAATGGCCGGCGTACGTATTTACACACAAGTCTTCGCAACCGCCATTGTTAAATACACAGGGGTTCTCATTGCAGTAACAACTGTCTGTATTGTTGGTCCAAAACTCTAAAGAAAAGATATGACTTGCGCCAAATTTCAGTTATATTTCAGAATGCATTAATGGAGACAAGTTCGCAAACACACATCATACAGCACATCGAAATATCTACAGATTAACTAAAATCATGGACATAATGAGAGATCTCACATTATGTCCATGCTAAAATTACAGACCAATCAAATGATCATTAGAATAAAACGTTTTGAATAACATACCTCTTGCCATATTAAGAAGCAAGCCATGCATATGTTCAAATGTTTCATTTCTGTCAGATCCGCCATGGTGGTGATGGGGGCTGGGACGAGTACGTGGGTGCCCGTGGGGGCTGGGACGAGTACGTGGGTGCCCGTGGGGGCTGGGACGAGTACGTGGGTGTCCACGAGGGCTGAGACGAGGATGTGAGCGTCCGTGAGGGCTAGGGGGAGGGGTAGGACTCCGAAGATGCTTTGTTTTCTTCAATCTCGATGCTGAAAAAAAAAACTATGTCAGTGAATACATTGCACGACGATTATATTATCATCTGAAAAGATCAGTCAAAACCTCCAGTTAACTGGTTAGAAACGAACGTTGTTATTTTGACTATCGAATGCAACGCATAGTATGTAGATCACTTGCATACACAAGCCACTGTTTTGAGGTAAATGTTCAATAATTATATTAAAACTAATCGTTCTCTGCTGCCATTCTTTTCTCAAGTCATATCCATAATTCTACTACTTGAATCCATTAAAGATGCATACAAAGTCAATTTTTGTCACAAAAACCAACCAAATGCCAGCATATAGTTTCAAGTAGTATAACTAAGAGAATTACCAAAAGGCATTGTTTAATTTTACCCGAAAATGATGTTTGAACGGATTTTTCTACTGGCATTCTAAGCTGTATGTCAATGGGGCAGGAAAGTAGGTCACGAAAGTAGGTTAAATTTACAACCAAAAATTTAAAGAAAGGAGCAGTCTAAAGGTCTTTTATGGCTGATCGAGTGATCTATTCAGTTTATCCCTTGGCATGTCGAATTTATTTGAGTCATCTAGGAGAAGTGGTTTACATGTGTTACTGGGAATCCACGCTCCATCGATGCTCGGTTCGTATGTACCTTTAAAAAAATTCAATTTTCCTATTTACCCAAGATATATTACTGAACAAATATAAACATATATAAACCTACCTTCATTCGAATTCAGCGCCGTTACAATCAACGTAAGCAGGAGCCACAGGATAGATTCTAGTTGCATCTGAAATTATATAATTGTAAGAAAATGTCGTAACGCACCTTTCTCAGTCCAAAGATACCTTTATGCAGCTATCCTCATCAGCCGCTTGATGACAAAAATGTTTTCTTTTTATGTTAGTTTTTTTTCGGTGTAAAAAGAGAGAAAGAAATTTACCTTTAGTCAGTCCGTTCTTTCAAAATTGAATGGTATCCGCCTCACAGTTTCACGGAACGCTTTTGGACTACTGGTCGTCGTTCGCGGACTGTCAAGTGAGAGCATTTATATTATCCAAGCACTGGACAACGGTCCAATCACAGGCAAATCACGGCCTAATCATCCAATCAAGTTCATGGAAGAAGTGGCGCGTATTTTTAAGTTCTTGTCACGTTTACAGAAGACACGTGATCAGGCCTGGAGCGTTTTATGACCCTATTTCACACAGACCACGAATCCCACGAATCGCCAGGAATTGACAAATTTCAGGATTCGTGAGGATTCGTGAGATTTTGCCAATTTTCTGGTCTAAATCGACACGCTCTACGATTCAGTTACAATGCAGGTGCGATAGTGTTACGAATATTCGTGGGATTCGGCTGGAATCGCACGAATATTGTCCAAAAATTCACTACGATTTTTTGGAATCGGGAGTTCGTGGCCAAAATTTTGAACAGCTCAAAATTTTTGCCACGAATTCCCGATTGATCAAGAATTGCAAGAACTGACTACGATTATATACGAATCCGTTGAGAACTTCACGAACTGATTACTATTCAACCACGAATCCTGAAATTTCAATTCCTGGCGATTCGTGGTCTGTGTGAAATAGGGGTATCAAAGTTTTTGCCACTAATTCCTGTTGGTCAAGTAGTGCAAGATCTGACTACGAATATATACGAATATGTTAAAAACTTCACGAACTGATTACGATTCAACCACGAATCCTGAAATTTGTCAATTCTTGGCGATTCGTGGGATTCGTGGTCTGTGTGAAATAGGGGCATTATATGGAGCTTGTAACTGACTTTTCCCGCTCCGAACAATAGGATAATTGCACTTTTATTTTTCGCTTGGAACACATTTATTATTACTTTTTTTTTATTTGGGACAGCACAAACTGTCAACCTAAAGAAGATAAGACTACTCTGTCAAATTGATAACATTTTGCAAGTTTTCACGACATCTTTGTCAAGTTATCTCTGCCCGTCAAGATTCTTGCCAAATACAGCGACACGCAGCCTTGATTGTTTGGGGTAACACAAACATCATGGAAGTATGTACTCCCGTAATTTGGGGAAATCTTATTCAAATTTTGCTCCCAAAACCCTTAAAAAAAGTTCACCTGCTGACTATGTGTTGATATTACATGAGACCATAGATGTTTCAAAGTCAGTCATGATTGGTTTATTAGTTTAGTTTATTGTTTACAGCTGAAAATAAATCTGTCATTTTCCAGGCGTATGCTAAAATATTGTTTCGGTGAAATTCAAGTCAGTACAGGCTTACTCGTACATTGGCGTAGACGATGTAAAAGGTAAAAGGAGTCCGCATTCTTCATCATTAATCATGTTTTCAATAGGCCTTTAAAAAATAAATAAATTTAAAAAAAATAATAATAATAATAATTCGAGTTTCTTCATAGAGTGCATTCAGAACAGCGGACTAACAGATCGGCGTGGATCAAATATGCGCAATCCCCGCGAGGAATCTAATCAGTGTCTAATCTTATGACCGACCCCACTTCAAAAGTGATGTCGCTGATTCCCGTTGCTCTCCCCGCCTTCAAACGCGCCATTAAACGAATTAAATCTCGGATCCGAGGTTTAATTGCTGGTCGGCGTGTGTGGAGGCGGGGAGACCATCATGGAATTAGCGGCATCGCTTTTTAAGTGGGGTCGGCCATATTTAGGCGGCGGATCAGTTAGTACTCGGATCGGTTAGTACTCGGATCATCTGAATGGGGCCTAAGTCTGTTGTCTGAATGTGCTCATAGGCACTTGATCGTCAAGTAGGTGAAGTGAAGGTGAAGTGAAACATTGTGATTGTGGTAAACTTCTTCATTATTTGTTCATTGTTGAGTGATTAATTATCTACTTCAGCTTTTCTTTCTTTTTTTTTTTTTTTTTTTTTTTTTTTTTTTTTTTTTTTTTTTACGAAATTTTTTTTTTATTTTTTTTTTTTAAATTATTTGAAACCCCTCATGTTCCTTTTGTGTAAAATTTTACTTTTTNCTCAAGGCAGCAAAGCTGTCAAATGTACAGAGAAAAAGCAGGAAATAACAAAATAGGCTACTGTCAATTCTGATGCAAAATTATGCTCAACAGGTAATACCCATGTAAGTAAAATGTGNCAATAATTTAATTTTCGCATATTTTGTTCCTTTTTAAAACAATAATGATAAACAACAAGATTGTTTTTGGTGTAAATAAAATTCGAATTTATTTATTTTTTGTGAAAATAGATATTCGATTGGTTTTTTAAATCAGCGAGAGAAAAGTTCGTAGCATTGGTTCACATCTTTTGGCTTGACTCACGAGGTGGACCACATTTCTAGTAGACCTTGAAGCAGCTGAGTATTTCAACCTGAAAGAACAGACAATTTAGTTTGGTTACTCTACGAGAGAGAGAGAGAGAGAGAGAGAGAGAGAGAGAGAGAGAGAGAGAGAGAGAACAAATCTAACCCCTTAAGTCACGGATTGAATCATGATTTTTTAAGATAAGAAATCAAATTCTTTGTTACCACCGGGATGGAGATATATTAAAGAGGACAACTACATCTTATCCACCTGCCTTTTCCGCAGTAGACTTGAGACAACGTATACTAAATTATCTACGCTTTTTTAAAACCTGCTTTGAATGTCTGTGAATAAAAATATTAATTCGTTAGAGATTCCTCTTGGATAATGAAACTCATTTGTTAACTTGAACTTTCAAAAAATGAAGAAAGAAATGGAACTTGCAATAAAAATGATGTAACTTACAGTTTTCATGAAAAGTCAGGTTTAATAGTAACCGTAGTTCGTCTGGTATCCGCTAGAGCGTTGGTACCCGGCGTTGTAGCCACGATCATAGTCGTTTTCATAATAATCGCCTTGGTTGTTTCCATAGTAACCATCGTTGTTGCTACCATAGTAACCATCGTGGCTATTATAGCTGCCTCCGTGGCGTCCATCGTTGTACCTGTAGTCGTTGCTATAGTAGCCCACATTATAGCCTCTGCGATTATTTCTCTTGAACCCGCCACGACCGTAGAATGGTGCGGCAAGGGCCACAGAAATCAACACGGCAATAATAATGAGCTTCATCATAGTGATAGCGGTGCCTGCTCAACTGATAAGTCTTCTGAAGTTAGACGTCACGGTTTAAAACTGGTGTCCCTACCCAAACGTGTTCCTTTATATACTTTAGTAAATTGCATGACAAATGCAGTTTGTATACGAATAAAAGCCTACATTTTATATTATGTAAAAAAATTAAGTTTTATCTAAACCTCAAATAGTTACCAGTACAGCTAATTATCCCACGGTTGGCATAACAACCTAAACCACATCGATACAGTAATGATAATGAAAAGCGAACGAAAACAAAAAACTAAACACAAGCACGCAAGAATTATTCAAATGATTACCTAATGATGAGGAAACACATAGCCCTCGATGGAATTGGTGAAATATTTCCGTATTTCTTTCTGCTTGAATATAATAAAGTGGCTACCGATGCTAGTGTTATTTCCTCGTGTGACCAATACAATCTATTTAATGCGCGTCATTAGACCCGCAATCTGTAGCGGCGATAGTAAAAACAAACTCTTAAAACAGGGTAGTCTCCAGAGTGGTCCAGCTCGAGGAAATTCAATCAAGAAAGCAGAATCTTTTACTGAACATCATGTTTTGATGATTTTACAACAATCGCTTATCTTTTTCGTTTTGCACTTTTTTCATTGACATTACATCTGTAAAGGGAAATAATTCAGGTTCGAGGACTGATGGAGACCCCTCCTTATCCAAATATATAACCAAATTACAATACACATCATGGGTGAATAGAGTTCTGTGCTACGCCTTGGAATCACATGTGTAGTATAATACCAGCGACATAGAGGTTTGACGCTTAGTATAGATTCAGTGCATTTCTTTATTTTTTATCTTTCAGGTTAGGAGTTTCATTAATAAAAAATAAAACTCAACGTCTGAAAGGAGGATTTAGTTAACGTAGGAAAAAAGAAGGAAATAATAATAATGACACGGATTAACTGGCGAATACAGAATTTTGTAGAGGGAGGGGAGTTCAATGATAAAAAAAAATTCATCTCACTTTGCTCAGAAAACAAAAAACACTAGACGAGGACAATTTTACTGTAATATGTAATTTGCGCCGGATGGGAAACTCACAAGGTTGTCTGATTTCGTTCGTTATACTAGCCGTTTTTAGGAAGGTGAAGGGGTACCACCGATACTAAGGGAAGGACACGTAGGTTGGGCGTCCCCTGAATCTGCCAGTGTGTTTTGTGTGCAGTAAAGCACGCGGCGTTTCTACGAATGTAGTGTGATAATAGTTCAACATCTTATGGACAAATTCGCTCGATACTACCAAACGACATTTATTTACAGTAAATGAAACGTCATAACATAAGTTAATTTTTTCAACGTTTTAAATATCACATTTTCGACCTACATGTGTTAATCGTGGCATTGTTACATGTGGCTTCTTTCTTCTCTGCCGTCTGCTGACCCTGGTCTTAGCCCCTAGCTGAACATCACTCACCAAAACTCTCACTTGATTTACATAATAAGTTCATCAACATTCCGTATAGAAGCCTCGGTCCTAATTTTAGCATTTGTAATATAATAAGACACAATGGATCCCCATCCAAAAAGGCAATTTAGGTTTGCTGAAATCGTAATGGTAGGCCTACAATAATCGCATTTTGTTTCAGCCAGGAAAAAATATATAACCAGAAAAACGAACCAACAAACGTATAAGCTCGGTAGAACATGATGGGAATCCCAGTAAAGACCTGAAGCAATCACTATTCTTATGAAGTAATAAGCGCGGAAAAGTCCCCTGTAAAATATTACTATTTACAAATACCAATCTTTGTTTAATTTTCTTTCCCAGTAGCTTTTTAATATAGACATAGTTTCCCAAAGTTTATCGCAGTTGGCTTTTTTGTTAAAAAGTGTGAATAAATAGACAATAGGTGCGTTTATATGATCGACTTGGTGGAGGTTATTACAGGATTCTGGTCACATAAATGGCAGACAAAGAACACGATGTGCTATTGCGATAGATGGTTTAGAAAGTTAAATAACAGTCTTATGAAATGATGCATTTGTCTACAGTTCATTATGATAACGTACATTCGATAGAACAACACGTGGATGAAAAAAAAAACGGGGTGGCAAATTTCTTCACGGACGGTAAAACTTTTCTAGGAAAACACAAAGTTGCAAATATAAAAAGATTTGTTAAAATAGAAATAAAAATTTAATATGACAAATGTGTAATAATTTTCCCTAAGATATCATGTTTGATTTTAAAGAAAGTGGCTCAAGTGAAAAATAAAGTGGAACATTAGGTATTTTATTAAAGAAAATAGGTTTTTTTAAAACAATATCTTGGTCTTCCCTTAAAACCACTTGAACTCATACAAAAACTATGTATTCGTGTCTTCAATATTTTCAAGTTAGTTATTCCTAACTATAAACCCGTGTCCATATACTATAGATACATAAATCAGACAAATAGTAAATGACGGGGTGTCAAGAGATATATGCCCTGGATAGTTGATATCATTTTGCATGTTCAATGTCCAACGTAACGTTCTCAATAATAACCGCAATATTCATACTTTAGGCTCATGCTTTAAAGATAAATCCTGAATTTTTATAACGTCACTGCTAGGTTTAAAACTTTCAGTCCAAAGGATCGATCTTTCAATTTCTTTTTCAAACCTGTTTAATTTACACATAAGGATCAGTGACATAACAACTGCAATAACAGCGATCAGAAGGTATATCATGGACTGCCAAAACTGTTGCTCGACGTTCTTTGTTCTTTCAGCTCTCATGTTTTCTTGCAGTTGGATTCGAAGCTGCTGAAGTTGGATTTCCATAGATTCTTGCTGCTCTCCAAGAAAGTCGCCATAGATGTCGCCACTTTCAAAGTCCGTCATGTCCGCCGCTCGCTTCTTGCGACCGTTCTGTAAAAATCCACCGATGCCCAGGCAGAAAAAATCACCGGGGGTGTTGATACAAATGGCGGAACACATTTCAGGAATCGCACATTCATTTATATCTGTAAAGAGAGAAAAATATGCCCAATAAATACATTCAAAACAGAGGGAAATAAATGAAAATTTTAAAGGCTTTTAAATGCTATTATATGCTATATTATAAATGCTATTATATTAAATTTGAAATGCTATTTGTTAACTTACGGGAAACTCAACATAAATCCACCTTGAAATGTCAAAATGGGTAGTTAAATAAAACTTGACTTTATAGTATGTATATAACCTCTTAATTACTCGTTGTTTCACTTACCAACACATGTCTTGGAATCATTTGAGAGACGATATCCATCCGAACAATTACAGAAGAAGCTACCAATGGTATTAGTACACTGGTCTTGACACGGACTCTCCATGATACACTCATCCTTGTCTAGAATACAAGAAAGATCAATGTAAGATGTTTGAACATATTGCAACAGGACAAAACTTAGGGCCTAATCAGAAAAATACTTGACGGTGGAGTATAGATCAGATGGACACCTTTCCATACCAATAGAGAGAAAGGAAAACCAATGACGGTGACGTTATAACATAAAAAGGTTTTGTCAGACCAGGGAATTATATCCGATATAATTCCCTGGTCAGACCGAATATGATTGTATAAGTTTCCATAATAGATTTGCTCATGGGCAGTCAAACAGGTACACAAATTGTCTATATTCAAAGTAACACTTATAAAACATGAGTAAACCGATTAATTTACATTCTTTTGAACCCAGACTAATCTTCGAATAAAAGTATTTGGATAATTGAAGATAATTTTGTCTTTGACTGATGACAATTATGATAACCAGACCACTTATTTCTGTGAAACGATGGTCAGCGTACCTTGACACCTTGTTCCATTCACAGGGTATCTGCCATTGGGATCTTCACAGATACACACCAATTGATTGTATTCGGTTAGCGCCACACACGTAATTTCATATTCTGAAAAAAAGACAATTGGTATATTTGACTGTTAAAAACAATTACAGGCCTGGAACTACAGGTTGATTGAGATAATAAAAAAAGCTGGCAAGATAGAGGGATGATACTTATAAGTTACAAATGAAATTGAATTGAAATTCTCGAAATATTTCATAAAATTGCAAATAACATGAAAATAAGATTAACACTTGAATATATTTGTAAAAACACTTACCACAGGAAGTTGTGTCGTTTTCCCCGACCACCAGTTGATAGCCCAGACTACACGCACAGTAATGGCCGGCGTACGTATTTACACACAGGTCTTCGCAGCCGCCATTGTTAATAGTACAGGGGTTCTCATTGCAGTAACAACTGTCTGTATTGTTGGTCCAAAACTCTATTTCCAAAGAATAAATATAAAAATAAATAAATTGCAAAATAGGAGGAGTTATTTTGAATGTTCGAAATACCTTAAATCCATGTAGCACCTATCATATCTGCAGAATAGAACATTGAATTGTAGGCATAAAAAAGGTTGTTTACATAAAAAATTAGTCGAATTACATACCTGCTGTCAAGTTTTGAAGCAATCCACTGAAGTCGTGGTCATGTTCAAATGTTTCATTTCTGTATGATCCGTCATGGTGGTGATGATGGTCGTGGGGGCTGGGACGAGAATGTGGGTGTCCATGAGGGCTGGGACGAGAATGTGGGTGTCCATGAGGGCTGGGACGAGAATGTGGGTGGCCATGAGGGCTGGGACGAGAATGTGGGTGGCCATGAGGGCTGGGACGAGAATGGTTTCCGTGGGGGCTAGGACGAGAACGGTGTCCGTGGGGACTAGGACGAGAATGGTGTCCGTGGGGGCTGGGGCGAGACCGTCGCGGTCCGTGGGGGCTAGGACGAGTCCGTGGGTAACTGGAAGGGCCGCGACGAGAGGGCATGCGGTGTTTCTTTGGCCCCTTTGCTTTAAAATAAAAAGACAACAGAAACATTATGTACATGCACAGGTATATTATGACAAGCAGTGTGTACTATGTAGAATTATTTTAAACGGCGTATATTTGATGAACGCTAGGATACTAGATTAACGTTAACGCTGTGACTTTTAATTCTTTGAATAAAAGATTCCCTGTACTCCACTTTACTCTTCTTCAGGTACGCTGAATTCATAAGTACGTATATATAAATTTAACTTCATACGAGTTGTAAAGGATAAGATTCCCCTCAACGACTACAAATGACATTAATTAGGGCACCAGCCAACGATCTAAAATGCATGTTTAAAAATAGTGTTTTAAATAGATAGAAAGGAAGTACCCGAAATTGAACGATAGGTAAAAATGACCGAATATGCAATCAAAATCCCTGTCAATCAATAAATGTACACTTACCTTCGATCGTGAGCAGCACTATAAAACTTATCGCCAATATGACCCATAGCGTAGTTTGCAACTTCATCTGAAATATTTAAACGTTTGTTGTTATACAATTTTCTCGTTAAAACTGTAGAGGGAAAAGATGATTCAGAACACGATTTGTAAATTAATCTGATTATCATTTTTTTAGTTATTTCGATAAAAATGAATAATAAATTAAAAAAACTTTGGTGATCTGGTGGTGTTGGCGGCTCACTTTTTGCAGGGCGTCCGTCTCCTGTATTAAGAAGAAAACTTGAGGTTGGTATTTTCTGGCGTCAGGTTGAGCAAGTGAGTGTTAAATGGAAAATTATGCGTGAATTTATAATTCAGGCCGTGGTGAACCGACCAATCAGTGTGTAATTTAACCACAAAGAGAGACGCAAGACGGTAGGTCCTTGTTTACGTAACGAGCTGCCATATCTTGGAGACAAAGGGAAGGCCTCGGTCTTTGTTGAAGCAGTCATCTATTAGATTATTTGAAGTGGTTAAAAAGAGACAATCAAGGCAATCAGGTGACAAGTAATTGAGGGTAATTTTCATTTATACGATGAGATACGGCCTCAGACTTTGTATGATGTTATAAAGCTTATTTCTTGCAGACAAGACCCCCGTCAAGCAGAGTGGCGGACAATTTTGATTGTTCCATGAAAGCTCCGAAATTACTTGTTTAGAAAATTAGGTGCAAGTCGAGGTTATAAATTAACGCAAATTAGGACTTTGTTGAAAGTAACCCTCTAAAAACACAATCCTACATGTAGTACCATAATAATATGTTATGTAACGCTGTTAGTGTGAATCGCTTACAGTGTGTGTGTGTCTGCTGTATTGTATGAAAACTCTAAAACCACTATCACTTATTTTATTAGCATGGTAGGCCATCGACTAAATCTAAACAAAAATGTCACTTTTTTAACAGAATCAGCAGTTATCGTTGTTAGACTGTAGGATTATTTACAAAGCGATACACAGGCAAATAAAGAAAACCTTGTGGATAAAAATTAAACAATTTAACGTCATAGCTATACATACGGCGGTAAGTTACCCTCTTCCAGGGCGACTGATAGATTTTTACAGATATTCACAGATATGTCTCTAGCTAGATAGATGGTCATTTTGGGCTGAAGTTCTGTAAAAATCTATCAGTCGCCCTGGTAGAGGGTAGCGGTAAGTAAAGTTACCAAAGGATAACAAAAACCCTTGCAAGAAACGGCAAAATATCAAAAATTAAATGTGTCAGTCTACGCGTATATTCAGACAATAGTAGTATATATATATATATATATATATATATATATATATATATATATATATATATATATATATATATGCCTATGTTTTTAACGCGACCCAAATCAACCGTTCTCATGGGCCCACAAATCGCAGTATTGTGCACATTTATCAACACCATAAAAATAAATGTTTTAAGTTATGACAAGAGCAAACGCATCTAGATATATAATAATACAGTACTGTTATTACAGTATTAATTTGTGGTTCATTTCGGATCCAAAATGAAACCCGTAGTCCTAAACTAAAATTATTCTTTAAACAGCGTACCGTTTTCTTAGGTTTATTTAGAATTAAATTAATGTTTTAGAAAAGACTTTTCTATCATTACACTTAAAATCCAAATCTCTCAAAATCTCACACCTAATGTAGTCTGGGTGTCAGTTACAAGTGAAAAGGAATCTTGACAGGCAGTGATGTAAACTACTTATAGCTAAAATCACCAAACGCTTGATTGACTTAACTGAGGGTGTATAATTTGTCACCTGCCTGACACTAAAGTGGGATGCCATTTGCGATAAACATCCGTAGTGCCCTTGCTCACAAGTGAAAAACCAAGCGAAGATCAAAGAAAAGCAGATCGCCACTTTTCTTTTGTCACAAAATATTTTTGAAATTCACAGATATGTTTCGGTGTCAATCTGGCATCTTCGGTCTGTACTGACGTCACCAGTAATAACATTTCAAGACTCAATTCAGCAAAAACACGTTTGATTCGGTCATGACGAGTTCATTTTTGTTCAGTTGTTTAGGAACTAGCGTATAATTTAAATACTTTAAGTTAACTGGCATCAATAGCTGAAAAATAACGTGAATGTCAAACGTGTCCCCTCGTTCTGCAAGTCGGACAAATGTAAAACAGATAAATTGTCACCGTGGTTGCTCCGTTAAGATCTCGTCTCATCACAGCCAATAATCTCATTCACACAGCACTAGTTCAAACAACCAGGCACTAGTTAGTGCTTTGTATCCCGTAATCTTCAACCGTCTCCCCCATTTCAAATCGTTATACGGCATCAGTCCTATTGTTTTGTTTTTTTTTAATCCGCAACGAATCGGCGTATAATAACGATATCGTTTTGCGCAGCACTATTTCATATCAAATCCATGCACAAAAGAGCACGACAAAACCTCGGACAATATCTAATACGCCACGAGGACCACACTAATGCTAAATTCTCAATACAACAGATATTGTTTCACACTTTTTACTGCAACTCGACGATCGATTCAGCAAAAAGCTTTGGTTATACTGTCATTGCGGCAGGAAGAAGACGATCTTGTCTACAGAAAGGGAACGTCTTCGTCAGGCTGCCTTTCTTTTTAGGGAAGGAAGCTGACCGCACTGAATTTACACCCAACTAATGCAAAAGGGTAATAGATTTTTAAAACACACTTCTCACTATTTCGAACATAGCGTCGTAAGCTTCTTTGATGAAAAAAAATGGCAACAAGTATCGAAAATAAAATTTTTCAGAAACATTGTGTTGGTTTGCGTTAAACTCGCTGCGATTGCAATTTTTACTAAACCAGCATCGCGCTTTTTGTCCTGTATAGCTGAAGATAGCGATTACGTTCTTGGTTATATTAAATGAAAACAATACCAGATTTACGTACAGAAATCTTTACTTACAAGTAGTTTTCACAACTACATAATGCATATCAAGGAATACTCCCCTTGTAATATTTTTAATGGTTTAGTTTTCTGACTGAAATCATATTTACTTTCATAGAATAATTTTTAATGAATATTTATGTGGACATTTAACTTATACACTAATTTTAATTTTCCAAGGTGAATTGTTGCAGATATTTACTAAATACATCGGAATAGTTTGAATGTAAAATTTTCGGTTATGACACCACATGGAAATATCTCATTCTTAGGCTGTAAAACCAGCAACATTTTCATGCCTTTGTAAAATGCTGTACATATCCACTGGGTGTGACGCCCTACATACATGCATACGATCCATTATAGACACAAGTCCTTTTTTGGAATTCAAATAGTCTTCACTGACAATTCTACTTTACATCCTACAAAATCCATCTCTTCTACTTAGATCACACATTCGTCAATATAAAACAAGTTGAAGAATATTACGCCAGTATGACCTTTTCACTAACTCTAAATACCATATATCTACGGACATTATGTAAGTAGTTATAAATACTCTATATTACAGCATACTATAAGAATAATGAATATTGCTAAGTCAGGATGACAGGACCAATCATGCTTGACGGTAACACTGTAAGAGAGTGCATTATTCCTTCCCTACACAGAAGAGGGGGAGAACCTGCATATTCAACTCTCTCTTTCTTACCACCTTGTACTGCAGAGAAAACATTAAACAGTTCTGAAGTCCAGAGATCATGTTTTTGCCTTAATCTCATTGAGTTTCTGTACAAAGAAGGTTTCCAGGACTTCTGCACACTGGTAGAAGGGGCTGTCATGGGGATTGTAGTAGCGACAGTTGTCAAAGATCTTGGTCACATCCCTCACAAACTCTCCAAGTATTCTGTAGGCTTTACTTTTCAGTTTCTTCTCAACAGTTGACAAGTCTGATAATGAGACAAAATGGTAAGGATATTGACATTAATTTTCTGTAAAATGGATGTTTTCAGATATATTTCTTTACAATGTTTACCATATTCACATTAACATTTGAATAAGTGCTAAACCTTTAAAAAGCCAAAATAAACAAATAAAAAATGAAATAAACACATAGGTAAATATCAACCAATCAAGTCATACAACCACTCAATGTAAAAAAAAAAAAAAAAAA